CGTGGATTGGGTCAATGCGTGTTTCTCGAGAAGCGTGACAAGGGTTTTCGACGTGATGAGCAGAACTGGGGCAAGGAAGAAGGAAGGGGGCGTTGGCCATCCCTCAAGCACCGTCCACCCAAACATCATCCACATGGCACATCAATTGATGGGAGTGGGCGTATTCACTCTGTCGCCTGGCGTTTCCCTCGATGACCTCGACCCCATCAATTAAGGTGCACAACGTGGTGTGGTGTGTGAACGATCATACCAAGAGTGAGGCCCCTGATCTGCCCAGGTCATATCCGCCTCGTCCTGCCTCAACGCTCTGCTTTGTTTCTCGCCACTGCACACCTTTTTTTTTCTGCTTCTTTTTCTTTTTCCCCCGATTTCTAAATCCGTGAAGATCGCTGGGCGACCTCATGCAAGGTTGGGATGGGTGTTCAAGTGGCTCGGGCTTTGTTTGGTTCGCTGCAGAGGAGCCGGTTTTGGAACGACGGCTGCTAAAATGGTCGGAGCGTCAGATCGCAAAATATCAGACACCGATGAAAATCGCCCTCGTTCAATGAAGAGAAAAGAGAGGGAGTGAAGGAAGGAGGGAATAAAAGAGATGGGCTAATTCGTCTGAATATTGGAAGCGATTGCGGATCAAAAGACGAGGAGACGCAAATGAAGGAACGTGAAAAGAAAAGAAAAAAGGACACCCAGAAAAATGATACAATCCAGACCTGGCCATATGATTGAAGTCGGGGCCGTGTCGCAACTCGGGGTTTGAGGCTGAAGCAACACCGATTAGTGCAGGACACATCAGCGAGAGCGGACAGTCGATGTCGGGCCCGCTCTGGAGCAGCGCGCGCAGGATGCAACCGTTGCTGTCGGGCTGTAGGAGAAATGCAGTGCAGAGGTAACCATGAGCAAGGCAAGGAGAATAAAGAGAGAGAGAAAAACGCCCACTTGAAAACACAAAAGGTTTCCCCGTCCGTGGGCCGCATGCATCGTCCATCATACAACTTTGTATGACAACCCTGCGGGCGTGTACAGCTCAGGTGTGTTAGTCTTCCCTCTCTCTCGTCACAATGCCCGGTGCCTCGGCCTCAGCCACGGTGCATATGTCTCGTGCGTCTGCTCGACAGCCCGCCTAAGCCTGACTGCCCGAGTGATCATACTGCCAGCATGATGGTACGGGATTTTTATCCCTTCTTTTTCTCCTCTTGCTCTCTCGAGTTGCGAACGGTTGGTGTTTGCAAACCTAGACCGCTTGCCAGTGCGGTACACACCCCCTCCCTCTTTCACCCCGCAAGCCTTCCACCCTTTTTTGACTTTGGGCTCTTCGGTCTCGCACTAGAAGAGGAGGGGGGATTTTCTTTATCGTTGTCATCTATGTCAATGCTTTGTAAAACATCCTGCTGCACATGCGCTGCGGGTCGGCGTACGTTGGTCTGGGGGCGACGGTCCTTTCGTGGGGTACTCGGGCCATTGCGTAACAGCACCAGTCATTTGTGCTTATGTGTGGCCGTTTGCCATTTCCTCTCTTGGGCGCGCGGCGGATCGACGTTGCTTCTCGGGGCCGGTCTCGTCTTGTGAGGGTTCTCGCATTTTACCAAGCCGTCTTCGTCGAGCGCATGGATGCGGCCAGGCTTTCGGGTTCGTCGAAGCCTTCGAGAAGCCCATTGCCTGGGCAAGGTTCCCTGGCCTTTGGCGATGTGCACACCGCGTCCTGGGCCGGATCTCGATGATGGAAAGGGGCCGGGTGTCCTGACCATCCGATATTCTGGCAACTTGTCTCGCCGGGATACCCCTTCCATGCAGACTCATGTCGTCGGATAGGTCTCCATCTTGTGTTCCGAGAGATCTTCCCTGCGCTTTTCTTTGCGTTGCGCCCTCACTTTGCCCTCTTGCTTCTAACTTGGGATCCCCGGTGGCCATCAAGAGACTCTTCCCAGCCCACTGTGCCGTGAGGTGAGTCTATCAAGTCCCGGAAGTCGCCACCCTCTCTGGTGTGGATGGGTGTGTTCCTTCTAGCCATCTGACGCCGGCTTGCCCATCTGTATCATGGTCTTTTGTTTTTGTTTTTCTAATGGTCTTTGGTGTCTCAAAACCTCCCTTGACCATGTGGCGAAGAGTTTGGAAGCTTGAGAGAACCCGCCAAGTCGCATGCTATCGACTAAACAAGGCCCATCTACCATCCGTGCAGAGATGCTCGACGAGTTTGCATCCACCCCTGTCCCTGGATAGAAATCTAGCCCGCTGCTTCGTCGCATCTTTGTTCTTCCTGTCAAACTGTCAAACTTTGGTGCGGGAATCGTCTGATACGTCGCGGTTTGGTGATTTAATGCGGTGGAAGCCCGCTTGAGGTGGACTACTGTTCGATGTGATAGGCAATAGTGAGCGGGCGTTTCTTGACGAGGTTTGGTAATGGTAGGCCGTTTGTTGAGTCTCGTGGTAGCAACAACCACCATCCGGTCTCGATTCACCTCGGGTTACATCGAGGCCTAGGTCCGGTTCCAGGTCGGTGCTGGCCCTTGGAGAGGCTCAGATGTGTCCCATCTAGCTGGAAAGGCGAGGAGGGTTTGGTTGATAGTTAAGGCTGAGGAGGATGGCCGCCATCGTGACGTTTCAAAGGATGTGTGTAGTATCGCATCCAAGGTCTGCATGGCAGTTCGTATCGCTTCCTTCTAAGCCTCATCCCCAACACTGAATCTCAAGGACAAAGAGGCGAAGGAAGCACGGTGTCTTTATATCTTTACGTCTATATACAATACAGCAAGACGAAGCGCTCGGGAAAAACGCGTCATCAAACTAGCCATGATCAAGAGCCTGAAATGGAAGAAGGGAAGCAAAACGAGATGGCATCCTCGCCTGGCCTTAAGAATAGTATCCCCCATTGCTCTTTCAGGCCGGGAAGTGACTTTGCTCCTGCCTCATTACCCACTTCTGCCTCGCGGATGGGCAGAAGCTCATTCTCGCCTGTTCTCAAAACGAGCGTGCCCACGCTTAGCCACCGTCGGAATAAAGGGTAAAAGAAGTAGAAGCACGAGAAACGGCAAAACAGCGGGAGACCTTGGCTAGTTTTCTGTGGGGAAAAGAATGAAAAAAGGGGGGACTCGGGGAGGAGAAGAAGGGCTCGCTCGCCGCTCTGCCCGGCTGGTGGGCCGCCTACGTGTACGAGGAGCGCTCTCCCCGTCATAGGTTCCTGCCAGACCTGTATCGGGATTTCAAATGTTGTTTAAAACGTCTCGGGTCCCGCGACGGTCCCGGTTAATGCGCCGGAAGGGATTCGGGAAGCCCGTGGCGAGGCCAGAACATAGGCGTGACTGGAAGAGGAGGAAGGCTCGGATAGGCCCCGGCTATTCTGGCAACAATGGATCCAGGATCCCTCAGCTGATGTGCACCCTCTCGCCTTCACCATCCAGCGACCTTTTGATTTATCGATATATGTGGCGAGATCTTAGTCAACACGAGAAGCCGCAACAGACAAACCTCTGGCGCTTGTCTCTAATAGCCACAAAAGTGGTGTTGTAAAATGGTGCGCAAGCCAGGGTTCTGTGCATCTATGTGGATATATCCACATGTATCATTGTAGATAACATAAATATTTCCGCCCACGATGCCGTGAGCGCCATCTAGGCAAGGGATGCACGGCTGAAGCGGGCATTAGATTCATTGCTGTTGGAAAGGTCAACGAAGAACGGCGTGATGAAGCCCTTCTCGTCTGCCTGACCAGGGACAATTACCGTTACAATTCAAACCAGACTCCCTACCGATAGCCAGCAGAGGGGTCTTGAGGAACAAAAACATAAATTCAACAAGGGGCTATATTCACGGATCTTCGTAGGGGACTGAAGGAAGTCATTGTCGAGACTATCCTAAAGCCTCGCGGTTTCCTCCACAGTCCTCAACTGATGGGTATCACCCCTTCAGACAGCCACACCATACTTACTAGCTTTCGGAATCGGACTCTACCGTAAATTCTGGCAAGTACTCTTCGGGCAAAGTTGGGTATGTGTACTTGAAAAGGCCTCGGAAAGACGGCTCATGACCTCATCGTCAAGTTGCGTTGGGAGGAGGGTCTCGAATTGCTGCCTTATGTACGACCGTGATATCAACTCCGCGCCCTTTGCCATTTCAATCTTCGGAAGGTCTCCAGAGAGGATCGCGTAGCAATACATCTTGCGTGCAGCTACCGCGATCTCGGGGATGTCTAGTTACTATCACTTTAGCAGCGTTCGTTCCAATTTCATCCCCCAGCACCCAAGGCAATATGGAGGGATGGGCTTTCCCCATATGTAGGCTTACCACACATGCAAATAGAGCCTAGAAGTAATCCATGGATAATCAGTTACTATTCTAAAGATGACATGTAGCTTGGCCATGAAAAACCAAAGGGTTGGGAAATTTACCTGAACCATAAAACACCTCTCGATTCAGGTCCGACCATGCAGAAACAGGTGTATTCTCCGAGGCGAAGCTGTCTCTTGCACTGACAGAATCAAGATTTACGGATGCCTCGAAAGTATTGTACATCATTTCGTTCAACTGTCTCGGCTGTAGAAGAGAGTGGAGACCTGAGTCCTTGTTAATAGCCACGGTCTTCGCCATACGCTTGACTTCTTTTGATGAGCAATTCTGACCTTTGCGATTGCGGCTTCAGGCGGGATAGAATCCTTGTGCCAACCCAACAAGGTACCGTGAATATGAGGCACCAGATCAAAGTTGGGGTTATCCTCGATTGCCTCGCGCATCATGGCAAGATATAGATAAAAACGAGGTGATGGAAGGTCCATATATATATTTAAAAGAACCATCCGGTTAACGAACCGAACACTTTCGTCAACGCCTTTCGACCATTCGTCAATCTTGTTCCTCAGTAGTCGCATTCGTCGCACTTGCATTCGATCGTATATCAAAGTCCTGAAGGTTCCACCTAGTTGGTCCAGTCAAAGTCAGCTACTTAGGTAGAGTACAAGGTCAAATGTTAGGGGCTGTCTTCATACCTAAAACAAAGTAAGCCCTGAACGGCCCTATGTTTTTCGATTCCTCGGGTTTCGCATCGGGGAGAGCATCTTGATCAACTCGCCTAACTCGGAGTCAATCGAGTCTAGAAACTTAAGTTCTGGAATTTGGCCAGGTTGGTTCGCAGGTCTGGGCGAGTTGGGAGAGCTTTGAGAAGTTGGCTTGGCTCCGATGCCTCCCTTCCGGGATAGGAGGTACTCATCCACTTCAGGGACGTGTTGGCGGAACTCATCCAAGTCGAACTTCCTTGTTTTGTCTTGGAAAATTTGGGTTAGATAGCGATGCTTAGCGACGCTTGCATCCTGAAAGCTCTCGAAATTCTCCATCTCCGGTTCAGCTATCTGCACCGGAACAGCAAAGGGCTTCCCAGGGTTGCGAAGCTCGTAAAGGTTCTGCAGCTTCTTAGCCAACGCCCATTGCTTGTCGACATCCGGCCCGCAGACTACCCCGTGGCCAAACCCTGGCGATGCCATGTATTGATCGAAGAAGACAAAGAAGCCCTTTTCGGAGCCAAAAACGAGATGTTGGCACAGGAAGGCGTTGTCGAGGATAATTCCGTTGATCGTATTCACATGTCGGGTGGCCAAGGCCTGGACCGGAAACGTGAATACATCCTTCGCCCGGGGTCTCCATCTTTTATCTGGCCCTTTTCCAGGAATGATGAAGCACGGGTTCGAGTTGAGGGCTTTGTACACTGGTAGACTTTGCAGTAACGATCTCGGCTCGGTTTCCCACTGGCGCACGCTTGCCCGGAAACTTGCTTTTCTCGAATCCCGTATCTGCTGGCTGAGCTCCTCGCCCCGATACGGGAGATCGTTGGCGCGTAGCACAAGCATCAGCTTGGGGGATATCGGTGCAAACTCGTGAAAGGGCCGGTAGGCAAAGCCCTCGACCTTGCCCGTCCCGGGGTCTACAACAAAGTTGGAAGGCCCCTCGAAGATGTTGTAGGTGTTGTCGGCGAGAAGGTACTCGGCGTCCGCATCGGCAACTGTGCAGATAGCCATGAACGAACAAGTGACGTGAGTGTAAAACCCAATGGCGTCAAGAAAGAACATGTTTGATACCAGGACCTCCCTCCATTCATCCACCTGCTTGTTCATATCGAGTTCAATGATGTTGTCAAGGCCTTCGAACCAAACCTCCATCGGCTGGGAGAAGCCTTTCTTGGCCATGTAGTCCTTCATAAGTTTCTTGTCATTCTCAAGATATTGGTCCACCTATTTGTGGTTAAAGCGCTTGCGATACCCAGCGCCCCGGTACCTCAGTAAGAAGAGAAATTTCCTCAAAAGGTCTCGCTCGGGGCGCGTCATCACCACAACAGACTCTCCCTTCTCGTAGCAGTTCACGATTCTTTGGTAAATCTCGCCAGCCTGGCGCTCCATTTTGCGAAACTTTTCTTCGATGACTTGCTGGTTTTCCGTCGGTTTGCACTCGTCGCGATACATGTCGATCTCGCCAAATGTGCGGGAAATAGGGCTCTCTCGAACCTCGAGGGGCCCATCATCCTGGAGGGTGAAGCTATAGACGACCGGATCTCCGGGGAACTTGTTCTTTTCATATTTGTGACCCTTTTTCTTTTTAGGCGGACCGTCGACGGTGCCGTGAGGGTTATACTTGTGAGCAAAGTTTCGAAGGAGGAATCTAGGAATAAAATGTTGGTATTGTGACTGGAAGCCTGCCATGGCGATGTGTGATTGCGCTCTGCGGCGTATGTGATGTTCTGAGTGTGCGTTGTGTTAGATGTTCAAATGGATCTCTGTGCAGTTGGGTTTCGCTCAAGGCAAAGGAGGAAAGATGACCTGTAAGAGACAAAAGTAGCAGAATAGAGTGCTAGTACGGTATGACGGATCTTTTGGTATCGACCACGATGGAGCGCAGGCGATGCGAACCAGCTTTTATAGGAGCCTAGATATTTCACGAGAGATTCTTCTACTTAATCATCACGAGGAGACCGGGATGCCCCGATGTCCCCTTTTAGTGAATGATAGACGTTCATAGATCTATCCATCCAATGGCTGGACCCTCCAGGATTCATGCGGTACCTATATGCAGCAGGCCAACCTTCGATGCTCGCAAATGCGCAAGAGGGACAAAAGTCGAAATGCAAGGGCGTGTCATACGGACCCAGCATAGCAGCCCAAAGTAGGGTATGGGTGGTTGGTAGATAGATGCCCCTTTGCTGCAAAGACGAGGACGAGGCGAATGGCGTGGTGCTTTCTCAAAACGAGGCACTTTTGGAACCAATGACGGGTCCGGGCCGACCTCCACGTTGGTGATGCCCCGGCTCGAGCCGCCTATCACGACCCGGAGATGCCGCCTCTCACGACCCGAAGATGCCGCCGTCAAGACCCGGAGACGCAACCATCAACTTCTCGCGAGGCAATATATAAACGCGCACCGAGAATCCGGAGCCCGGTGGCATTTGAGACCCCTCTTGCTCATCGTCTCTTTCCATTCCATTTCCTCATCCTCTTTTTACCTCCCTTGGCGCCCAGGCCCCGCAGGGCCTGGGTGCCTCACGTTCGTTATTGCGTGAACCTTCCCCGAGGCAGTGTGGTTCGACAACCGTCTACGCAGAATCCCGCGGCAAGAACAGCGGCTACGGGCTTCTGCGTGCATGGTCCCCACTGCCATCGACTCCGAATTTGGGGGAAGGCTTCTCCCCTTTTTCCTTTTGTTATATGTGCATGTAAGGAGCAAACGCCGCGAACACCATAAAGAAGACGGATAGTGCCTACGGAGAAGATACTAACAAACAGGCTGTAGTTGGAGCTCGGCCATCTCACTGACAGACTTGTCTCTATCCGACAAACCTTGGAAGAAGTAGAAGAAGGAGAGCAGGATTGTGGAGGTATGATACTACCCAGGATTCCGCTGGAAGATAGGGCAGTCTGCCAGATTGCCCCCACCCCTCTGCGCCCCTCCCTTTCCTGGTACCCCGACGCTGATTTTTAATCTTTGTGTAGTTCTCAGAGGAATCTTATTTGCACCTCCATGTGCCATAGCGGTAGCACTTTCTACAATGATCCTGCTAGATGCCGCAGTGGAGTCGCATGGAGGTGGAAATGCGATTCTTCTAAGTCCTCCTCCTTCTACGCCTCACCAAGGCTGTATGTGATTGGAGATGATGGACGATGGCGAGGTGGGCGTGTTCTTGTTGTAGCGGGTTGAATTTATACACTCGTATGAATCGATGATCGAGTAAGTGCAACCCCTCCCGGTCGAGAAGGAGGAGGAGGAGGAGGAGGAGGGCAATGTCTCACAGTGAACCTGCTACAGTTCCTAGTTTGGTGACCTGGATAACGTCACGAAAAGGTCCCGTTTTGAATATTTTAACAATCCCGAGATTTGAAGCTTTGCTTCACAAGCCTCAAAAAGAAAACCAAGAAAACACACACAAACAAAAAACCAAAGCCTTAACGCCGCCGAAAGGCACTACTATAGTCCGTCTTGGACCGATTTTCGGGAGGTAAACTAACAAGAGAGCCGGAAAGCCCGAACACAGGCATGGGGGAGCCGGGGATGATCGATGTGGGCTATGGGGAATGCGCAGATTTGGCAGATTGGCAAACCAACATGGATGCTCAAGCTGCCTGGGGTCTAGCGAACAGCTTCGACTATTCAGATACCCCAGAAGCATTGGAATGCGACTGGGGCGCGTTGGGCACCTTGTTTAATCATAGCCAGCTCCAGATGGACATGCCCCCGTCTTCTGCTTCTTCGAGGGAGGACGTGGTCTTGCCCGAGACCTTTACAGACGCGCCTGACTACCCTTGGCTACAGGTTATATGCGAAGGTGAGATGTTAACCGCTTCTGTAGGACTGCATGGGGTGTTTAAAGCTACCCCACCCCCGAGCATATGGGATATGGGTGGGCGACAACCGGAATATCCACTCCCGAAGGCTTTTTCGCTTCACCACAATCATCCCTCACTGCCCGAGAAGAAACGGCGAGCCTTCATGCATCTCCCGGCTGGACCCTGGAAAATTTCTCTGCCGAGTTGTTGAGGCCGTCGCTGCCCCCGTTGGCAACCCTCCCAAGTGGCGGGGGCTCGATCTTTGAGATTTCTTCTCCAGGCTGGTCGGCCCTACAGACGGTCCCGGGTGCCTCGCCGGAAGACACTTCCGTGTGTGGGTCGACGACCTCGGGTTCTTTTGGGTACATGTATCTATACAATTCAACAACCCCGATATCATTATCGTCGAGCTTCGGCGCAGAGACAAACGTGGTGGAAAGTTCACCGGCGTCTAGCGTTGGTGTGCCGCCACCGCCGCCAGTCCCGAGCGGCCAAGCCGGGGGTGCCAGCGGGTAAGAAAGTCAGACAGAAGAACACTGCGGGAAGAAAGGGGGTCAAGGAAACAAGGTGAGTACTCCCGTTTCCCCAAAAGGATGGTGGCGTTTAAAACCCCCAACTCTTGGTGGGAATTTGGGACGGCCACTCAGCGGCGAATGTGATGGCTCGACACCGCTGACGAACGAGGGGAGCAGTCGCAGTCGGAGGAAGCGTGAGCAACCATACAAATGCGATGTCTGCGGGATATCCATGGCCGAGCGCCGAGACATGGAGCGACACAAAGACACTCACAATCTTCAACGAATTAGGGTCTCCTGCCGGTTCGACAACTGCTCGTCGACATTTCCACAGTCCCAGAAACACAACTTGAAGAGACACGAGAAGAAATGCCCCCATAGACCAAGGGGCATGAGTCTCGAGGCCGGCCTTGCAAGTTGAAGACCATTTCCTTTTATCCTGTTTTTCTTTCTCTTTTTTTTTCCTTCTTTTTATCTATGCTCTGTAAATTCTCTTTTCGGTTCCTGTCTGTAAGAGCACTTGGGTTTCTCGCTATAGGTTGTTCAAGTTTGGGCAGGGTAGGGAGAATCCGGACTCGGGGCGAGATTGACCACACTTTGGGTTCGGGTGTACCGGCGATATACGAGGTAAACTAGACAGGGCCATTTCGAGACATGATTTATTCCTTTTTCCTCTTTTACCGTTTTCTTCTCCTCTCCTCCCGTGATCTATGAGCACTCTATAGTTGAGCGAGGCCCCTGCCGAGAGTCTTCATCTTGGTGGCGGCAGCTGTGACGGTGGTAGGACTGCAACCGAACCTCTGCGGCCGTGATGCTATTTTTTCTTTCCCGCACAGGCAGTCAGAGATAAAGAGAGGCATCGTTGCTTCCGGATTCTGTGTCCATTTGGGCCAAATGTTCATGCACATGATGCGTTCGCTCACGGTTTGACGAGGCGAAACCAAGGGTACGGTACGATATGCGATCCATTGATCCATGAATGCATTGCAAGGCTCAAAGAGAAACCCAAGGCCAAACCCTAGGCCAAACCTAAAAAGTCGCCTTGGCATGGGCATCTCTGCCGACAGACCCGATCTCGCGGGGAAGGGATTGCAATTGTGCACTAGACGGTACTTATAGATAAGGGTCGCTATGGCATAACAACGGATCATTGCTGCCCGTCCGCTAAGAATAGTGTGATCCGTTGCTGTGATCCATGATCCATAACCCATTACAATTGATCGGTGCAAGCAACTCTGGTGGATGACATGGAGTCCACGGAGATCTCGAGAGTCGGCCGAGGGCTGTCATTGCTATCTTTAGAAACGCGACGGTCTGAAGAGGAAAATCCTCACGCGACATGATACACGCACCCACTCGTCGTGCCCTTGAGCTTAAAAGGTGATACGGCGGGTGGGGGCCATGACATCACTGCTGTCAGGGATTAGACTCTGTCTCTGTCTTCTTCGCTGCGTCCTTGTCTCTCTTTAATCGTCTCCTTGCTCCCGACTGGCGCCCGGGCGTTGAAACGAAACGGGCTTCCTTGCTCTGGTTGGTCCGGGCGCTTGGAGGCGGCGGTCGATCAGGAGTTCGGCGGGCCCAGCACACACGCCCGACAGGAAACGACTTGGTACAGATCTCAATGGGGATTCGTTCTATTCTAGTGAGCGCAATGCAATGGATCCAATCTCTTGTACTAGTGCGTGCCAAACCAAACAAAAAAAAGTTCAACTAGCAAAGCGTGGCCGGGGCTTGAGGCTGAAACACCGAACCCGCCAAGCCCGGGGCTCTCGTCTCGGTCCAACGCCTGGTTTCAATGAGTGCACCCAAAAATAAGCTTTTACTCTTGTTCATTGTTCATTGTTCATTGTTTGTGCCCACTCGGCCGCCGCCGCAAGACCCCTTCCCTCCCCGGATTGACTAGCTGAGAGCGAGACGTGAGACGAGTGAAGGCTGGACACCACCAATGAACTGGACGCATGGGTGACCCCCGTTCCCACATCGATGCCCACTAGTACAAGTAAACCGCCGAGAAAACCAAAAGAAGCTATTTTCGTCCCAAGTGTTCAACCATCGCTGAGAGGGTGCCAGAGGTGCGAGAGGTGCTCCCAGATCCTAGATGCGACGGGGGAGGCAAGGGGGAACGCGCTGATCTTCTCACATCAACCCATGTCTGCGTCCGCAAAGATGCCCGCTTGGCATCTTGGGATTCCTGGACGGCATGCCGCGAGATCCGCAAAGGGGAACGGTCATCCTTACTCCCCGTCGCTTGCATGTAGACTCTATTTCTCCTTCATAGAATACCTGTACCAGAGATTCTCTTTTATAAACCTCAAGTCTCCTGTCGGCCCCTCCCTCTGCCGCCGCCGTGCTTGATCTCTTCTCTTCTCCACCCTTTTCTTACACTTTGTTTCCTTTCCCTCCTCGCTTCCTCATTCCCCTTTTCTGTTTGTCTCTTCTCTTCGTCGTCTACCTCAGCGTAGACTTGCCAGCTGGCTGTGCGTTCGCTTCTTCATCTTCACCTCCCCTTTTGCATTCCCCTCTTCGCTTCTTCTTTCACTCGCAGGGCCGATCTTGATCTCTCCGCTTTTCTTTTCTTCGTGCTTTCCCTTTCACTTTTTTTCTTCCCTTCCATTTCAAGTTCTTTCGTAGTCACATCAACTTCATCATGCGGTAAGTCCCAGACCAATCTTATTAGCAGGGGCCTTCTTATTCTTCTTCTTCTTCCTCATGACTTCACGTACCCGGACCACGACGCACGCTAATACTCAACCTCTCAACCGGAACAGCCAACCAAGAACCTCCCACGAGCGCCGTGCTCAACTCGCCGAGCGCCAAATCGGAAACTTCACCGACAGCGACAGCAACGGTGTCAACTCCAACACCGACAACAACGCCTTCACCGACACAGACGACGGCTTCGCCAACCGAAACAGGCTCCCCAGCACCCGCCGCCGCCGCCGCCACGTCAAGAAGAGGACCACGGAGCCCGTCAGATCCCCGGCTTCACCTCGGACGAGGGCAACGGCTTCACCTCCAACGACGGCGGCTTCTCTACGGATGACGGCTTCTTTGGCCGGAATCGGCTTGGTAGCTTGCAGCGCCGTCGCGTCAAGAAGTTGGCCGAGAAGCGCCAGATCCAAAACTTCACTTCAGACGACGACAACGGCATCACCTCCAACGACGGCGGCTTTTCTACGGATGATGGCTTCTTCAATAGGAACAGGCTGCCCGCGGCCCAGCGCCGCCGCCGCATGAAGAAGAGGGCGGAGGAGAAGCGTCAAATCCAAAACTTCACCTCGGACGATGACAACGGCATCACCTCCAACGACGGTGGCTTCTCCGACACCGACGACGGCTTCTTCAATAGAAACCGTCCGCAGCGCCGCCGCACCAAGAAGAGGGAGGAGAAGCGCCAGATCCAAAACTTCACCTCGGATGACGACAACGGCATCACGTCCAACGACGGCGGCTTCTCCGATACCGATGACGGCTTCTTCAACAACGCCCGCCAGCGTCCCGGAAACAAGAGGAAGCGCCGCGTCGACGCTCCTCGCCGCGAGACCCTCGAGGCGAGATCAGGCACGGAGAGCGATGACAACGATCCCTTCACCGATCTCGACTCGGACGATGAGGCTCGCAACAACCAGCCCCCGCCCCCGTCAACAACGTCATCGTACCCAGCATCGCCGCCCCTTCATCCTTGCCCTCGCCAAACGTCGAGGCCCCTGCCGCGACACCGCAAATCGACCCCGTCCTCAACGTCGGCGAACCCGCCGCCGAAGCTCCCTCTGCTGCTCCACCCGCAGAGGCCGCTCCGGCCGAGACCCCGGCCGAGACCCCGCCTGCCGTTGAAGTCCCAGCACCCGTCAGCACCCCGCGGATGCTCCTGCGCCAACCCGGAACCGGCTGCCACTTCCGTATCAGACATCGTGTCTCAAATCACAGGCTCAGCAGACTCGCCCAGCTCCAGCAGCATCGCCCCGATTTCATCCGGAACCGGCGCAGAGAGCGGGCAAGCCAATAGCCCCCAGGGCATCACATCGGGAGAGTCTGCTGGCGGCATGAGCCGGGGAGCCGCTATTGGCATCGCCTTCGGAACCATTGGTACGTCATCATTCTCTTAAACCCTCGCAAGAAAGAATTTCGGAGCAATTGGCTAACATATAGTTTGTCTCCTTCTCCGCAGCCGGCGTGTCGATTCTCATCGCCGCCGCATTCTTCTTCATCCGCTGGCATAGGCGTCGCCTAGACAAAATCTTTGACCAGCCTCCCCCGCCGGCCTCGGGCGCTCCGACTCGACCCGCACCGACACCGTCGTCATGGACAAGGCCATGCGGGCCATCTACGCCAACGAGCTCAGCCCAGAGGACAAGTTGTACGCCGGCCAGGAGACCCTGGACCAGCGTAGCATGAGGGAGCTCGAGGCCGACCAGGCCGTGACCCCCATCGACAAACCCATGCCGGTTCTGCCTCTGCCTTCGGACAACGCCGGCGGCCGGGGACGCGAGACCATGTTTCGCCAAGTCGATGGGTGGCTGCAACGGACCACGAGCATGTTTTCGCAACCAAACAGGAACACCGTGTTCCCCGGGGCGATCAAAACCAGTAGTGGGCCAGGTATCTTGGACCAGCTACCTCGTCAAGGAGACAGATACTGACTGACAATAAGAGTGTCGCCTCCCTCTGTCGATGTTGAAGAAAAGAAAAGAACGAGAGAAACAGAAAAATAAACTAAAAATTCCCCCAAAAATAAATGTCGGTTGGGCCTGCAGAGTGGAATGGAAGCCGATTACCTCTTTCATTCCCTCGAAAACATGCTGCCACGAAACCCTCTAATCGATCGTGTGGATGGGATAATCGAAGGGAATCCTGGTGTTGGAGGACAAAGCGATAAGAATGGATACCACTTTACTCAAGAATATAATGTGTTCAACTCAAACCCTCCCCTTAGCCCACCGGAGCGAGGCAGGGCAAGAAGACGAAGCCGCGGGAATGAGGTTTCCGTGTCAATGACCCCCCTTCACAACCGCCACCCTCTTCCTCTTCCTCCTTCAGTAGAAGCACGTTTTGCATCACAAGTCGAGAGCCATCGATTTGATCTGCGCAGACGCAAAAGAAACCATGTCCAACCGACAACGAAACTGATAAGGGAGTCTCATGTATCCTTTTGCGTGATGTAAATCGTTCGAATCGCCCCACAGGTTGCCACGAGACGCGGGAGGCTACTGCTGGTTACAAAGTAATCCTGTCCGTCGACCTGTCTCCTGTCTCCATGTCCCCGAGCCATTGCAGCTCGGGTCAGAAAGCCACGTTCGAACGGGTAGCTGTAGCGTACTCAAGGCGGAAGAGAAAAGACAAGATATCAAATACTACATGTACGGCATGAGCGTCAGCCTCTAAGCCACCCATGTAATGAAGGACCTTTATGTAGCTATTTGAATAAAGCTAATCAAGCTATTTGGAAAGCATCTGCGCATGTCTTGGGCGGGAACTCTCCCAACAGCAGCATGGCACTCTGGCTCGGGCTAGCCAGGCCTCAAGAAGCCTCATGGGATAGCGTATGAGTCGTCATCCTCGGTCTCGCTCCCACGGCCGACAAGAGTGTTGCGTCCAGGCCCAAGGGTCAACGGCCTGGCACTTTGGTCCAGGAATCCTTCTCCCCTTCATAGTTGTCGTGACAAATAAGACAAACTGCACAGAGCCTCCATTGACGCGGTAAACCCGCCCTCATCCAAAGACAAATCGCCTCCATGCAGTTGATCTCTTAAGAAATAGTGTCCATCCGCTAAGGAGGGGAGGGAGGGGATCCGGAATGGGAGCCGAGGGAATGGGGGCCGAGCACCAGACGAGAAAAGGCGCATTTCGGTGGTAAGCCCATCCCAAGCTACTCAAAATTTCCTTTTGCCAAGGCCGGATCCGACCACGCCAACGCCGATTTCCGGGGCCCCCTCGCGGACGGACCTCATCGATGCCGAAATCAAAGGCCCCCAAATCAACGCCTCGCAATAGCCCATAGACGGGAGAGGGAGAAAAAGAAGAAGAAGAAAAATTGGTACCCCAAAGGCTCGGCGGCAACGGGGCAGTTGACAAGGTCTGAGGGGAGAGAGAGCGCGAGTAAGAAATTTAGGGACTCCGAATCCGTTTCTAAAGGGCTGGTGAATGCCGCTCGCAACCGTGGTGTATCTGTTCCTTGCAGATGCCAATATCATAACCCCAACGTCGATATTAGTCGCCCGTCCCGTTTTCACCGTGGCATAGATCTTCACAGTTCCACACACCCCCTTCTCTCCCCCGCGCGCACCTTTTTGCCTAATATCCCGCCCTTCCTCACTCGCTTTAAACGACGGAACCGCTTTTTCGTACCCCCTTTTGCTTCTCTCTTCCCTTGTCTCTTGTCTTCTCTCTTCTTTTTTTCCAAATCCTTGCAGTCCTTCCCTCCAAACAAAGACCCTTTTCTCGCCATGACCCACAGACTTTCCGATCCGCTGGAATAAAGTGGTTTTCCCCACCCTCGTCGCGGAGCAATCTGCCTCGGCATCCGGACCTTGTCATGGCGGAACCCACATTCGACGACCAATTAATATACTCAGGTCTTTCCTCATATGGGATCTTTTGTTCTCCAATGCACCCACCAATACCATCTCCCTCCGATCCCACGGCAGTTATCCGGATCCAGCGGACGGCCGGTTGGTCAAGGCCATGCACCCTGCTCCACGCCCACCGATTCAGATAGAATGGGTGGCGGGGAGGAGTGCACTAGGCTCCCGGAGACGCTGGTTGCACGGCCAACCACGAGAGCCTTTCGTTCTTTGCTCCCTCGTTTAGCCACAGAAGAAGACGGTCCGTTATATGGAGATTCAAGTCTCCGAATGAGAGGAGAGGCATGGGCCCGGAAATAAGGGGTATTTATCAACGGTTACTAATGTCAGCGCTGGTGCAAGGAATGCACAACCTGCATGTCCGCGAGAGGGCCGATTTATAAAGATAGATAGAGTGTAGAAAGAGGAAGGGAACGGACGGAGGCGGAGAGCGTAGCCCATAGCCCACAGGGGGAAAGAAAAACCAGCGAGGAAGAGGGAAGCGGACAAGTATATCTATATCCATCCCCACATCCCCTCACCATCTCTCCCGGTCCAATTTAGAAAAGCGAAGTAAGAGAAGTAAAAAGAAAAAAGGAAAATCTCTCAATCCCCCTCGAACAACCTCTTTCACCCTCCTCCAGCTTCGTTCCCGCTCCAGCACGAGACAAAGGAAAACCAAGTAGAAGAAAAAGAAAAGTCCTCACCCGACCCACCAATCACCATGGTTTCCTCCACCGTTTTCAGTCTCGCCGCCCTCGTGGCTCTCGTACAGGGCCACGGCCTTGTCGAGGCCCCCGCCGCCCGTGCTCCGGGTGAGACCACCGCCACCATCTGCGGCAAGAACATGGTGGACTTCTACAAGGCCGACGGCACGTCCTATCCCGAGGCCCTCATGCGCAACGCCAACTGGCAACAGGGTGTCACCGAGGACTGCGACCTGTTCCTCTGCAAGGGTTACCAGTTCGAGGACAACCTCGACAACGTCCACGAGTACAGCACCGGCGACGTCGTCGACTTCAAGGTCCAGATCCGCATCCCCCACGTAGGCTACGCCAACGTCAGTGTCGTCGACACTGCCTCCAATGCCGTCATCGGCGAGGCCCTCAAGGTCTGGGAGAGCGGCTACGCCGACGGTGCCAAGTTCCCCAACCTGCCCGCCGACGAGACGAGCTTCAGCGTCACCATCCCCGAGCTTGAGGGCAAGTGTGCTGAGCCCGGTGCTTGCGTATGTCTCCCCACACAATCTGTGATGCCATTTCTCTCTGGGCTCGTTTTTATCTGACAATCTTCTCTAGGTTCTTCAATGGTACTGGTTCGGCCAAGGCCAGACTTACGAGTCTTGCGTCGACTTCACCGTTGCTGGTGCCGAGGAGTAAATCTGACCCTACTTGGAGAAAAAGAACCAACAATACAAAGTCAATGGAGGGAGGAGGCGAACAAGAGAGAGGCGGAGGCGCAGGGGAAATTAGGAGCGGTCCAAAGGGGCCGTTGCGTTGCCCATGGCACTTCATGTTTAGTAGTTTGTACATAGATTCGATCCTGTTATTATTTTGTCAATATCGATATCAACTTCTCAATCATCCACTGTACTATCGTAGATTCCTACCATATGTCCTTCGGTACAGCACATAGGCCTATCGGCGGGCCTGTGCTTTGTCGAAAAAGATAGAATGTGGCAACAGATATACACACAGATATGAGGATGAGATACGCCTTGATAGAAGAACGGTTTTCCTAGAATCCAGGTCACCTGGGTTTCATCATTAAAATTATACACTACCTTCATACGCCGTATCCATGGTATTTGTAGCCGATTATCCTGAATGCCGCTGCTACCCCAAGGTCCGAGTCAACGCTGGTAGAGAAGAAGCGACAAGGAAACCAAAGCCCGCAATAACTCCCTCATTAAAACAACCATCTCTTTATGTACTGGCGTACAAGTCCTCGAGGAGAGAAGTCTATGTCTCAGAGTAGACACCAAACATTTTTCCAGCGCTTCTGTGTCCCCGTCAGTCTGTTCTGCTAAACGCGACGCCAAGCTCTTGAGCCACGCTCGGTGGTCTTGCTGCTGCTTCTCCCCCAGGTAATCGTATCTGGGCTGATGCATGGTATCGGCTTTGTGAATGGCGGCATTCGCCTCCCCTTTCCGCCCATCGCTCTCTTTTTCCCCTCCCTTGCTCGGCTGGGCCCGTTCTGAGGCTACGTCCTCCAGGGCTGCGTACCAGTCGGCATCCACCCATCCCGAGGTCGCGCGTTTTATCGCCGCCTCTACGTCTCCCACTGTAGGGGTTGTCCACCCAGCCCAAAACTCGTTGGAACCTAGCCCCTTGACATCGAGATTTTCGCGAGCATGATCCATGATGTCTAGCGTCTTCTCCAAAAGGACAAATAGCGAGTCCACTTCAGACTCCTCACTACCCAGGATGGTTTCGAGCCTGTTCATCGAGACAACGAAGATTCCGGCGACTGTGGCAGGGAGGTGGCTCAAGATCCACTTGTCTCGAGTCCTCCGACTCCCCGGCGCGATGACATATTCGATACCCGCTAGCACAAACTTGCCATACTCCTCCTTCCGAAACTCTGCCACGAGGACCGCAAGCACGCCCCGGACCCATGGATGGAGCCCAATATCAGGCTGTATTGACTTGACAAACCCCGGCTAGTAGATTTTGTTGGTGTATCTACGAGCGTGAGATCGGCTGCGGCGGCCTTCCTTGCCGATTGGGAGACAGATCGGTCGAGCCCTCTGCTCTCCACGGATTTGATGGCGCTTCCCAACGCCGGCGAGCTCGGTAGGGCTTGCTTCACCCTCGAGCTAGATGGGGTGCCTCGTACTTGCTTTCCAGGGAGAATGTTATCGAGGTGTGTATATAATCGCTTGTACACGCGAGGGGGATAGGCGGCCTTGGCTCGATAGGTGGTAGATCCAGCGTAATCTTCAACCTACCAGCAGGGCACGACTTGTCAGCACGTTCCGAAGCCTCTAGCCTCAAGGAAATAGAAAGTAAAGGAAACAGTAGAGAATTTTGGATAGGGTACCTTTCGCAAGCTATATGCGCGCACGCGTACATGCGGGCAACCTCCTCGTCCGCCTTTAGTGTGCTAGCCCGTTGGCGAGACTGGGTCAAGAGCGTCCTGGCGGTGTCCACCAGGCGCGGGGGAAGCTGGGACCCATGGGTGGGCATGAGCGAGAGCAGGTTTTGCTCTATTGAGCGGCTCATGCTGATTTGGTTTAGCAGCGCTCCGAGCTGCTGACGTTGAAGGTGTTTGGATAGGGAAAAAGGGGGTCGGAGAGAGGTGCGTTGTCGTCGCAAAATCGAACGCGCTTTTAGCTTTTAAGGATCGGCGGTTATGGGGACCGGACGGATGATAAAACGCGGGTTATATTTGGCGAGGTTCAATGCCCGCACCTCGGGGACGGGAACCGAATTGATAGTCGCTGCCCTCTGATAAGTCTAGGATTAAGAAGCGCCAAACCAGGTGGGAATGGTGCACGTCGAGTAATCGTCTCAGAGTTTGATCTTGGCCAAAGCTCGGCTGAGGGCTGAAGAACGATTTGAACCACGAGCTCCACACTGCACATTGGGGCAGGAGCTATGACGCGATGGCTGCTCGCTCGGACCAGGGTTAGTTCGACTACCCCAAGCAAGCCAAGTCCAAACCAACGGGGGAAGCCTTCTTCAAGTACGAGATTTGCAAAAGCTTGTCAACTACCAGCGTCGCATTCCTCCACGGCAGAGATTAAACCATCGTCTGGTTTGTTGATCCCAACAATTCGTCTCCTTTCTCACATCCGAACGAGCACCACCGCCGACGCGATCTTATCCCCAAATACAGCCCACGCCTTCTCGCACAAGCGCCACTCTCCAAATGCGCCGCACTATTCTCCCCACCCTTGCAATCCTGGTTGCCGGCACCTGTGCGCATGGCGACCACGGCTCCGGGTCCCAGCAGCCCGCTGTGGCCGATGATGCCAACTGGATAACCAAGCACATGGCAGGCAAGTTGGCCGATCCCTAGTTTCGATGCAAAACATGTCTTTTGGCTTTCTAGCCCACTGGAACATGACACTAACCCGGGTCCTCCTATCAACAGAAGAGCATCATCTCGATTCGTGGGACGCCGCCTCCTTTTTCTCCCTCCATGACTTTAACAGCGACGGTGTCTGGCAAGGCGAAGAAATCCTGCGCACCTACGGCCTGTTCGACAAGTCCAACAAGGATGTGCCCCAAGAGAAGCGGGATTCCATCCTGAAAGAGCTGCTGGGTCTTCTCGACCAAAACAGCGATGGCGAGGTATCACGCGAGGAGCTAGCCGCCTTCCTAGGCCGAAGTACGCTTCCAGATATGGGCACCGGCCCAGGTCATCACGGAGACGAAGAGTTTGAGTACGAGATTCACCATTGGGAAAAGTAAGATCTTGACAACCCTCCCCACCTTGGGCTTTACATTCCTCTTCACGAGAGTTTCCCCGGCTAACCCAGATACTCCAGGTACCACAACGACGAAACCCAACTCGAGGACCTCACCCACCCCGAAGACATCGAACACTTCAAGCTACATGATAAGATGGAAGAGGAAGAAGAGAGGCTGGAGGAGCTTAGGAAGCGCAACGTAATCGAAGAAAATATCCCTGCAATGTTCCTTCGACCAGTATAGAGCCCCCCTTGGATTCACTGTTCGCATCTATGACGAGGCCACGAAACTATAAGAGATAAATGTTGCTTTAGTGGGAAATACGGTATCGGTTGGATAGGATCAGGTTTGGGTTTCTCTCCTGCAAAGGTCTTTTCTCTTTTTTTTTTTTCTCTCTTTTCCTTTTACATATTATTGGGATTCTTTAGATAATAGTGATAGCCTTGTAATGTATACATCAAAGACGCAGTGCCAGACTCGCGGCGCAATCGTCTTCACCTTTTCCACATGCTCAATCTCGGCCCTTCTCTCGTGTCCGTCTCTAGTCGCCCACTCGCCAAAGAGGTCCTGTATCTGGCCCCGCCACGTCTCCACGTCATCCTCTCCGACGTTTTCGTGAAGGTGAAGCCAAGCCTCGGCGCTCGTCGACGTCATCTCCCATGATTCCGCCCATGTGTCCTTACTAGTGGGCAAGAGTCCTCCGTTTACATGCAGGACCTCGAGATTACCAAGGTGCGACCTCAGGCTCTCTATTCGGCCTCGTGCCTTTTGGTTATCCTCGACAAACACCACAATCTGCTCATCCCCAACGAGGTCACAGGTAGGCCGCGCGAGCTCCTCGCCGCAAACCACCCTAACCTTCCACCCGTTGCGCAGGGCGCCCCTCCGCAAACCTTCGACGCTCCACGGATTGATCTCCCAGCACAGCACCCTCATACCCAGCTTCGCGTACGAAAAGACAAAGTAGCCGATCCCCGCGTAAAGGTCAACAGCCCAGCGGTCGCGCAAATCGCCCGGCGGCCTCGCCCTTCGTTGCAGCGCAGCCACGGGTCGCGCCCCCGTGAAAATCCAGAATTCTAGCCTTCTCCGTGATATTCCCCCGGCTAAACATGGTGTATCGCGGGGCCCAAGTCTGGAATATCCCATTCTGCTTTGTCGAGACCCAAAACGCGGCCTTCAGATCGTCGCTGCACGGAGCTCGTGCCAGTGTTGCCGGCCCAAAGTCTCCGTAAAGCGTTACGATTTCAAGAGGGCTCCTCAGTACGTTCTCTTCAGGGACATCGCCGGCTACCCGACCTGCTCCGTGCTCGCCAACGTGAAGCGGAATCCCGGCATTGATGGCAAGGTGCGTTACTTGACTTTTGAATCTTGGAGATGGCTTCGAGCATAATTCTGTACAAGGACTCCTTCTCCTGTTTCATGCTGCTGTCCAAGACGGCTACCCACGCCGCCTCTGAAAAGGCGCCCGGTGATAGGAGTACCATTGGTTCGTAAACCATGAATCGTTTAGGGAGTGACATCGCGAGGTTTTCCTCCGTATAATAAGCCGCCTGCTTCCGGCTTGCGGCCTCGGATGGAATTGTAGCCAACCATTGTGAGACTATAGTTGGGGGTCGTATGTCGTTCGTGGCTTCTTGGATCGTTTAGGACGGTCCATGATGAGCGCCGTGGAAAGCGATAAGACATGTGTTCATCTATTGTTATTGAGGCATTTCGTGCCGCGTGCTGCGGAACTCAGGAGCAACCAAAGGTTGCGAAAAGAAAAAATGTGTCTTGAGCGGAGACGTGTGATGCTGACTACATTAAGATAGAGTCAGTCTCCTTGGTTGTGCGACGACTTCGATTCAAGTCGCACCTTTTAACATCGCAATCACCTGAAAGAAAAAAACAGAAAATTTCCCAGTTGCCTTAGAATGGAATTTGGCACCGCTTTACTTTGCAATGCTCTCGCAGTTGTTGTCTTATAACAACATCCGCAAGCGGAAGTAGCAAGACGAGCTTCAATAGCCCTTCTTCAATTTTTGGACCAAAGTAACCTCTTTGGGGACGTCTCGGCAAAGGGGCATCGGAGAGTTCGAGTCCGTCGCTCAGGCATGCAAACACGGCTAGAGTCATCCACGAAGGAAATCTTAAAACTTATTGGTATCTGTTTGAATTCCATAGCCCCTTTCAAGCTCCTGTATACCCGAATGTACCCCGGCGCAGCTTCGAAATCAACGGTATGATGGCTTCTTTAATGGTAAAGCTTGCATAAAAAATGAGGCAACATGGAAAAGAAAACTCTCAAGGGAGACTGAGAGATGAAAGCAAGTACATAAGAATAAACGCGTGCGTTCCCTGTTATCATACACAACCCCCAAACGGACCTTGAGCACGGCTAGAGGAAATAGTCACTTGGACCTCGTCGGTTAGGTGGAGTATGCCGTTGCTCGTCTGGAACGGCGGAGAAGATGCTGAATTTCGGGTTCAAATCTTTGTCGACTGTCATGATGGACGCCACGTTCCCGCACCGATAGCAGTAGTTGGGTGCAGACCATACGGTAACGACTGAGTTTTGCGGGAAATGGTACTATTTCTGTGGTTAGCGAAGATGAAGACTTGACGACCATGTCATGCCCTCGGGCTGCAGGGTAGCTTACCTTGTAGCCTTCGTTGACAAGCTGGTGCGCACGGGCTATCAATTTAAGTCCATTGACGTGGTTAAACTCGGTGGCCACCTTGTTACCAAACAACCAACCGGCACCACGAGGACTGACTGCCCAAGTGTCTATCTCTTCCGGATCAGACCACACCAAGTCGCAAAAGGCACCTTCATGGGGAATTTCTTGGGCACGAGCCACGACCCGGATTTGGTCGATTGTCCGGATCTCGGGGCTCAAACCGCCATGCACACAAAGAATCTCGCCATCCACTATGGCAGCAAGAACGAGGAAATCAAAAACATGACAGCAAGCCTTCCAAACTGACGCGTTGCCGTACTTCTGCTGGCACTCTTCGTAAAAGCCATAGACCTGCGTGATTTGTCTAGACTCATGGTTCCCGCGAACCAGAACTATTTGATCGGGATATCTGGCCAGTCCTTGCGTTAGCAACATGGGGGTCATGTGGTAGGTGGGGGATGGTGCCGCGTACTTGGCCTTGAGACACATCAATAGCGTGAATGTTTCTAAGCTAAAATAACCACGGTCGACAAAATCTCCTAGAAAAATGTACCGAGTATCGGCAGACTGAGAGCTCGTATGGACCGCAGCTCCCGCTTCCGTGCTGGGTGCTTCTGCTGGAGGTGAACTGTCGCTATCGCCGACTTCGCTACTCGTGCCATCAGAGGATGACCTCAACTTCTTCTTTAGTTTAGGGTTGGTAATAGAGCTTGGAGGCTCAATATCGTCAGACGTTATCACATTGGTCGAGGACTGGGGGCCTCTACATCGGAGTCGCCCGGCATCCCACCGGCGACCCTGAACAACTCGAGAAGATCATAAAACTGGCCATGAATATCACCGCAGATAGTGACCGGGGTACAGACGGGCTGGATGTTCGACTCTGGAAACTAGAAGTTAGCTCATTGGCCAATGACTTCAAACGAGATGTGCGGCTGGTATCTTGGCTTCCCACCTTCCATAAGCACTTCCTTCACCATCTCGCAAAGCTCTTTCATAATCCTCTCCGGAAGATAGTGGCATTGCTTCGCCTCTTCTAGCCACTCATCCAAACCAGAGTTAGGGCCCAGCTTAGCCGGGCCCGGCTTCGGGACTGGCTTCATGATGAACGGGGAGGAGAGGGCGATTCTCGACGAGACTGGCGGGTCGAAGTAAGGTTGGGAGCAGCCGATGCCGAGGTACTTCCGTTGCGAGAGTTGGCTCCTTCGACGGAAGAGTTCTGTCGGGCGTTCGTGTCGGGGCCGAGCGATGAGGTGTCGACAAAATGGGGAAACGACTCTATATCATCGGGGATTGGGGCGTATGCGTATGGGAGCTGAATATCTCGGGTGGGTTGGAATTGAGCGACCGAGGGCCTCCCGTGGATTGCGAGACTAGGGGCTCCGCTCAACGATGGCCAAGGGAAATTAGGGGCGCCTGTGGCAGCTCGCTGACGTCGTTGGTTTGCAGAGCCTTGAGCGGCAATCAAGGCTGTCCGGTGTTGGGTAGCAGGGGTCACTATGGGAGAAGAGGCCACCCGCTCAACATCTAGATAAGCCTGTCCGTTTGGCGGTGATGTTGGATCGATTCTAGGTCGAGACACTGGCGCACAATGTTGGCCAAACGCGTATCGACGAGGTCGATGCCTTGTGTTGTTAACGGAGGGGGCCGCCGATCTAGGATCTCGAGGTGAATCCAGACCCTCCCAACTCCCTGAGCTCTCTCAGGATTGCTTTCAGATGGCATCTTGAAGGAAAACACGTGACTTTGAGTTTCATCAAAGGGTATTAGGCGAACTTTAGCCGGAATGAAGGATTTCAAAGAGTTATGAATGCCTCTAAATTAGTGTGTTCAGGAGGAGAAGATCACGTGTTTTTCAGGGGTGAAGCCAACTAGAAGACAAAAATCCCTGGGGCTGCTTTGGGCAGCTCCACTGCAGCTTCCAGCAATGAATGCCCACAGACCCCCATGATTGAACCCTGGAAGGGGAAGGAGCATTGCACCCGAGGCTGTGGAACCAACACCACCATAAAATTTCTAGGGAAGAGTCAGCAACTCCTTTTGTCATCTAGCGTTCGAGGGCAGCAATCAGCGGTGCTCATGTGTCGCCCGCTAGCCCAAGGTCAAGCAAAACTGCTGCTAAAAGCTCCCGAGGACGGTGAGCATGGCATCCGCCCACCCGACATGTATGTTGTAAAAATAGATTTTCACAGGGAAAATAGAATAGCATCTGAGGTTCCCGACCTTTTTTTTTTCCTTTTGCGTGCATATCATTATCAAGATTCCTCGTGATGTTTATCGTCTCGGGCTGTCTTGTTGCTGCTCTGGGCGAGGGAGTTGATGCAGTGCGGGACTCAATGACTTGTTACATTGATCCATCCACAGATGGGGTTAAATCTTGCTAGGACCAGCCAGGAACTCACATTCACCTCACCCTAAGAACAATTAGAATACGTCTTGCGCTTGCGCAACTACTTGGATGTTGAGTCCATCACATTCCTGCATTTCGAGGAATCGCATTCCTTATCCGGTTCTCGTGCACAAATTTCTGAGAACGCGACTTTGCAGCCGGATCATCACTTGGTCAGCGACAGTGGATGGTCTCACCTTTTTTTCTCCCCAGCTCCTCCCTCACCACCGCTCTGCCCAAAGTCGGGACAGCCTGCAGCCAGAAAAAAATAGACAGCAACGCCACAGCCCATCCTCCGTTGTACGACTCGCGAGGCTGTGCCGTTGTTGCAAATTCCTCTCCATTTCGATTATATAGCAGCTCACTTGTGTCGTACGTGGATGAGACCGCTAGCCTTGCCATCTCAGGAGAAATTACTTCGCATGACGCACAAGGCTCATAGCCGAACTACGGCCGAGCTTTAACATTGGCATGGCACCCGCCGGGCCAGACAAGTCTACGAGCAGGGCGAATGGGGTTATCCCCATCGCCGTGACCCAGCAGCGCGGGGAGATAAGAACGCCAAAGCATCTCGGTCAAGAGCCAAGGCCTCCGCAGACGGGATCAAGATGGTTCTTCGCTATCTCCCACCTGGTATGAAAGAGTCCGAGTGCACGTCCATCTTGGGAGATGAATGGAAAGTTGGGAACGGAAAGGTGGATTGGTTTCTCTTCACGCCGGGAAAGCTGGCTAAAAAGTAGGTACAGCGGGCATCATTCCGTCGTGGTCGAACCGCGAAGCTTCTCTGGATCCAAGGTGCTGACCGCAAAACCTCAGCGCTGGGAAGCCCTCGCGGCCTTCCCTTGCTTATTTTCATCTAACCAAGGCGGAATACGCTCAGCTCCTTATGGACAATGTCCGTAACGCTACATGGGAAGACGCAGGCAATACGTACAATGACCCCGCCCTCGTCTTTCCTCCCTTTGCGGAGAAGTGTACTTTCCAAAGGATACCTCCCACCAAGGAGAGGCATGACCCGAGACAGGGGACCATTGACACAGATCCTGACTTCATGGCTTTCCTTGAAGAATTGGCTAATCCTAAACCTCCCCCTCCGAGCAAGCCGAGCAGGATGCCAACGCCGCGCCTGGCCCCGCAGTGACCCCTCTCATTGAATTTTTGAAGGCGAAGAAGGCCAACAAAGACAAAGATTTGAGCTCTTCTAAAGGAGGGAAAGGTTCGCGCCAGGATACCAAGGGCTCGAAGGGCAAGGGTACAGATGACTCAAAAAGGGCAAGGAGAAAGCGGAGAAGAGAGAGCGGCCAAGGGAAGAGGTCAGGATCTTGTTAAAGAAGTCGACAACCGACTCAACAAAGGAAGCTAAAGGCGCGGCTGGGAAGAAATCATCTACCACAGCGACTGCGGCAAGCTCCTCACAGCCTTCCGCTGCCGCCGCCCCTCTGCTGCTGCTGCTGCCGTAGCCTCCACCTCTTCAACCTCCGCTGCCGACGCTGTCCCCAAAAGCAGGCGCGCAGGCATTGCAGCTGCAGCACGCATCCTCCAGAGGGATTTGGGCTTGAGCCCCGGAACTGCTCACAGGCGAGCCCGTCTAGACGCTGCCAAAGCCGAGGCCAAGACCACCACACCCTCGCAGCCTGCCTCTACCACCACTGCTGCCTCTACCACCACTGCTGGCACTGCCGGCACTGCCGGCACTACCGGCACTGCTGGAAAGGGCTCAACGGGTGCACAGCCACAAGCTACCGCTACTACACCAGCAGCAACCTCTTCCAACGCCCAGCCATCGGCAACATCTAGTAGCAAGTCACAATCGTCTGGGCGATCACGAGGCCGCGGCTCCAAGAATGCAGAGCAGAAGGGTAAAGGCGCAGAAAGCACGACTAATGGCTCGGGTCCGACAGCGGCGAACCCGCCGATTCTATTGAAGAAGCGACCTGACCAAACAACAGGAGCGAGCCAAGCCGCAGCCAAGCCAGCAGCAGCAGCAGTAGTACCAGTAGCTGTGGAGGCACCACCACCCCAAAAGCAAGTTGCTGGGGACTCCTCCAAGAGCAACAACGAGAAGGGCAAGGCTAGCAATCAGAAGAAGACTTCGATTACGCCGGGGGCAACTCGCAGCTTTGTTAAACACGCCAACCCATCTCAAGGTGTAACGGAAGCTCTTCTGAAACAAGCCCTCGGCGTATTCGGGACCGTCACTTTTGTCGAGATTGATAAGCGAAAAGGCTTTGCCTACGTCGACTTTGCCGAACACGATGCGCTGGTGAAGGCCATCACTTCTAGCCCAGTTTCGATTGCGCAAGCCACGGTTCAGGTTCTCGAAAGGAAGGAGAAAAAGCCTGCCCAACCTGCTGCCGCTGCTTCCCCGCCACTGGCGGCGCTGGGGCCGGCGCTCCTACCCCTACTCCTGCTCCGGCAGAAAAGGAGAAGCCAAGTCATCGCAGCAGGAGGGGTCGAAGGGGAGGTGGCGGTGGTGGTGGTGGTGGCGAGAAGGCGGCTGGTGGCGGCTCCTCAGCCCCTCTTCTGGAGGAGGTTCTGGTCAGGCTGCCTCATCCAAACCCAAAGGCGGAACGGGCTAGGGGTGCAACAAAGCCATGTGCTCAAAAATCACAATCACCCTAGTCGGAAGCCCGTTCTCATCCAGACGAGTATCGAAGGAACGACCAAAAGCCTGACATTGTTAGCTGGAGGATACAACTCCCTCGATGCGCTGTTGCTTCTACGACGACGCGAATGTGAGTGTTTCGGCCTTGGACTCTCCACGGGACATCTCTAAGCTCCAAAAACATCATTGTCAGAGCTCGGGTGCTTGGACTGGAGGCCCGGCGCACCAGCTGCCGAGGAAATGCCCAAGCTCAGCCCCCAAAGGAAGCTAGGAAAATGAGGGGGAAACAATCCAGTTGACCCTGTTGTAGAAGATGAACAAGAACCACGGTATGCACCTGTCGGGAAGCGAGTTCGTCGGAAATCCAAACACAAGATGCCACGGACAAGCACTGGCTGCCATGCCATGGTTTGCTAAGTCTTGCCCTAGCGGTAATCGAGTTAGGATCCTCAAATGTGGACGCTTCCCCCTTCCCTCCCCTCCCCGCTGCGCTAGAAGGATAATGGAATATGGCTGTCGAGAGTGTGTCTAGCTACCTCGCAGTTCCAGCCAAAAGTCAAGGATTTATCATTCATAAGCAGTCAAGCCATCGCCCTAATTGAAACTGTCTCTTTCTAAACCCCTTACCCTCCCTTTTGTTGGATCTGCAACGAAGGCATGGGCGGCAAATGTGCCAAACGTGAAAGTGATCGGTGGCATCTATTGTCCTAGATTTATACAAACGCCCTTTGCAGAGCATACAACAAAACAGCCAACAAAAAGCCAAACAATACCGAGGTTCTCTCATTCCACAGCGTCCTTGCCCGGGCCTCTAGTTCTTTACGGGCCAGCCACTTCTCCCCGCATCCCTCCTCGCCGTCTTTAGGCCAGGAAGCCCATCCAGGCTCGTAGTGTTGTTCGCCGCCTGGTACTCCAGCACGGCTCCGTCGGCGCTCTCGGCTTGCTTCGAGACCCAAAGCTCCATCGTAGGCCTCTCGGCGAAGGCGTACAGCTCGTTCTCGCCCGGAGGGAGCAGCTCCTTGCGGATGAGGGGCACGCCGAACCCGCAGCTCGTAGTGACTCTCCAGATGTGGCCGAGCACGATGGCCCTCGCGCCGACGTACACCCTCCGCCCCGTGCCGCTCGCGTCGCCAATCTTGGCCAGGGTGGCGGCGAACCTGGGGTGGTCCTGCTCGAGGATCTCGGCGTTGCAGAAGAGGCGGAGGATGCGCGGTGCGGGGCCAAAGGAGTTGAACATGATGGTGAGGCGGCCGTTCTCGTAGGCGTGGGCGATGGTCTCGCAGCCCGAGCCGGTGCGGTCGACGTAGGCGACTAGAGCCGGGGAGAGGACGGCGAAGTGGGAGGGGCGAGACCCTTGGGAGAGACGTTGATGTGAGCTCCGTGGGTCGGGGCGGAGCCGGTGAAGAAGACGGGCTGACGGGCTGCCCAGGCGGCCAGGTCCGGGTTTAGGTCCGGGTAGATCTTCATCGCGCCGAGTTTGATGGGCTAATGGATTGGGCTGGCTTGACTCTGCAACAGGCCTTGCACTGGGGTTCGTCGTCGCGATAGGTTTTGAACACTGAACGAGCGTGTGGCCAGCCTTTTCTCGCCGCTTGATTCTAGAGAAACAGTCCCTTCTTTCTAGGCCACCGCTCTTCCTGCTCACTTTCTCGCCCTGTGTCCTCTCTTTTTTTTTTTTTGTTCTATTGAAACAAACACGCACCCACGCACGCTTTCTCTTGCTCTCTTACGAAAGGCCGAATGGATTCTTCGACGGTAAAGATAGAACGAAGGCCAAATTCACGATTCCAGGTGGGAGTGTGTCGAGGAGAGGAAAGAATCAAGAAGGATGGATCTAGCATGACAGAAAAAGGAAGACTAGACACGCGCCGCGCCCTGCCGGTGACTCTCTAGATCTGCGCCGTTGTAACCCCGCCACTAGAGCGGCGAATCTCCAATGATAACGGTCAATTGGTCCGCTGCCCCACGATGCGACCTTTTGGCTATGTAGGTCCGGGGGAGGAGAACAGTGTAGAGACACTGGGTGTTCGTCCCCGCACCTTGACCAAACATTGCATCCTTGAAGGAGTTAGTCGGGTCTTATCACTCCTTCCTTTGCTTCACCGGCGGTGGAGCGCGGAGAGACAAGACTTTGTGGCGATGGCGTGCGCAGCGGGAAACTTGCGCCCTGGCTCGGCTGCCCCGCGCCGTCTCGAAGTCCTGCTTGACTTGAAGAATTAGGAAATCTCCCCTCCCAAAGCGGAAGGAAGGTAATAATAAACAGACGCTACACTACAATGTGGGAAAGTTGCTGTTGCCGACAACCTTCGAACAGCTAACCCACGCCCACGGTGACATAAACAAGAATAGAGAGAAGGGAAGAGGGAGAAAGAAAGAAAAACGGCACCAGAAATTACTCGGCTCAAGACAAGACCATGTTTTGTGGCCCAAGGCGTGAGTTTCGTCCAATCCGATTTTATTATCCCAAGGCTGTAGTGGCCTTCGAGAAGGGCAAAAGAGCGCTGGATTCAATCATCTCACCGAATTCGAGAAATTGTGGCTTTTTCTTCTTCTTCTTTTTCTCCCCCTTCTTAGTCTATGGCCTATGAGAGTAAGGCAATTGGAGAATTTCAAGGCCATGGATCCATGTTCCAGGCATTGCATTTTTGTTCGATTGCATTGCATCCTGCACTTCGAAGTCGCCCGGAGTCGTGGCACGACTGTTCGCCTCTCCAATCCCCTTCCAAAGACCGAGGGGGTGAAATTGGCAAAGCTCCATAGCATCACTCCGGAGTTGGAGGTTGCAACCATCAATCATTGGTTCGGTGGTGTAGTTGGTTATCACGCTTGTCTAACATCCACAAGGTGCTGGACACAAGAGGTCCCCGGATCGAGCCCGGGCCGAATCACGATTCTTTTTTTTTTTTTCTTTTTTCTCCTTCCTTCCCTTGTCAGTGATGCATGCCCTTGTTCTCATTTCTCCGTTCCATACAGCATTGCCTAGACTTGCAAGTTCAACACAGATATCAATTGATAGTATTATAGGAAAGTCGGAAAACAATTGAAAATGGCCAGGTCTGGCCATGCCAAAAGGGATGATGGAGGGCCACCACATCGCGACCCTGCTAAACTTGGTGCATCATTGATGGCTCGGACCACGGATAATAAGCCCCAGGGAAAATAAAGCACGAGATGCAAGATGCATTCATTCTAGAAGCGGTAGCCACCGGCTAAGATTGCCCGGCATGAACACCATCATACAGCATCGCCGGAATCAGCTCCCCGTCACTATGGTCCACGCAACGGATCCAGTTCAGACCCCAGATTTCACACCCTCCACCGGTCTGGTGACTTGCATTTATAAATTGAATTGAGCACTTTGAACGAGTACGAAATACTAACGGGGGTCCTCGGTGGGATATCTAGTCTATTTTGTTTTTCTTTTTCGCTTTGTCTTTGTTGGCCGGGGTGGACATACTCGATTGCGAAATCAAGGTAAGACAGGTGGGGAAATAGGAAATTCTATCGGCTCCTTACATGACATGACATCCCCAAATACATACATGGTTACCCATTACTTCTCTTTTACCGCGTGTCCTCCGCGTGAATGTCTTTCCCAGGCTTTTCATCTCCAAGTTCATACAAGACGGGGCTATGTTTACAGGACCATTTTATACCATTCATTCCAAAGCCAAAACAGATTAGAAAAATAGAGAGAAAAAAAGAAGATAAGATTGACAGGGGTAACAGGGACGAAGCAAGGGTATGGTATAAGAGAAAACAAACCAGGAAACTCGAGCGAGACAAGAAAAAAAAAGAAAAAACCCCCGTTGCGTGATCGATGAGAACACGCAGACAAAAGACGATGTTCCAAGGCGGGCAAGCTTCGGACGGTATGAGAGACTCTGGCCTTGGGAGGATGGATGCACCGACGAAGAAGGCCACAGGGAGAAAAAGAAAAAGAAAAAAGAGAAAAAGAAAAAGAAAAGAAAAATGGAGGGGAAAAAAGACAAGCGACAAGTGGAAGGGACGGAGCGGCACGGCTAGATTCACCCCTCAATCTTCGGGAAAGGGGGTGATGTGACGTGACTCCTCCAGTCACCACCTCCCCCTGCTCAATCACCAGCCAGCGCTGCCCAACCAACTTGCTGTGAGTCATAAACCAGTCGAGCAGGGCACCAATCGACGCAGAGGAGTCCGGTCGATGACGGTCCGAGGTTATGTCTTTTGCATCTGCCGCATGACGCGAGTTGCGCATTGTCGGCAAGACGAAGGGAAAAGAAATGCGGGAAAAAACGTGTGAGAAGGGAGAATTTTGCGCAAGATGCGAAAAGGATATCGAGAAGGGAGGGGAAAGAAGAAGCGACTCGTGAGAAAAACGAACAGAACAATAAACAGAACTGAAGTCGAGAGAGCTGAAGACTGAAGATCGGGCGCGGGCCGGATATTCTATGAGAAGGCGCGAATGGGGATTGGGTATCAACGCAATTTCCCCTATTTTCCATCTCCTTTCTTTTTTCGCGCCTTCTTTTTTGGTTGTGGTCTTTTTTTTTTTTCTTCCCTGGGAAAAATTAATTTTTCCTTCCACTTTTGTTCGAAATTCCACTTCCCGTTTCATCCTCTGGGGTGGCGGAGTCGAGGCCCAAATTTCCGGCCCGCAAGGGAAGTTGCGGGAACCCGTCATTTTGGTGTGGTGAGTGTGGGGTTGTGTGCGTGTCCCATTTGAGCACAGGTCAACCAGCCCACTGGATAAGCTCCCTTGCCATCCTCTTTTAGGGCCTAGGAGTCACCCGCACGGGGAGCTAGGCAGCAAAAGGGAAAGGAACCCGGACTGGGGGCGGGGAACATTTGTAAGTTCGGTTTCCCTTGAGCCTTATCCTTGGAAAAGTCGACGACAAACTCAAGGGTAAACCCGGACTCAGAAAAACCCCCAGCATTGCGAGGCTTGAGCGCGAAGGTGCCGAGGATGGAGAAAGGAGGGATTTTTTCTTCCTTTTGGGTCTTTTGGGGGCGGGGAGAAAGGCAAAGAAGGGGAGTGTGACAAAGGGCGGTGAAGGGTGAGGATGGCCTGGGGCGGGACGTGGTGTGTAGCCAATCCGGTCGGCTGCTGCCGCTGGTCCGAAAATAAACACTCTCTGGCGAACTTGGTACAGGAAAGCCGCCAAACGTATCAAAGCAGGTATCCCGTTTACCTGGTGGGGTAGGAACGGTATTGTCCGTCCTCAACGTAGATGTCTGAGGGCGCGTGTAGCCGTTCGAGTCGGTGCGCGAACCCCTCGACACGTCGGAATAAGCGGTTGTATCCCGATGGTTCGCGACAGCCATGCTGGCAAATAGCTGCGTTGGTGCGGCCGAGCTCTCCCGGCGACGGCGCGGCGAGGTGGGGCCCCACGGCTCAACATAAGTGCCATTATCGCCATCGTATTCTTCTTGTTGGGCAGCTCCCTTTACAGTAGCCCGTTCGAAGCGCTCTGCCAGCGGGTCCTTCTTAGCGACAGTCGTAGACTTCCGCTTGCTCTCAGACCGCCGTACGCTGCTTGGCTCGACGTTCCGCGAGCTAGACGACTTGACCTCGCTGCGTGAGCTCGAGGAAGACTTATCCTTGGCTCTAGAGCTTGATGAAGAGGTAGACTTCTCGTCCGAGCGTGAGCTCGAGCTAGAACTAGAAGGCTTGCTCTTGGCCTTCTTCTCCCTGATTGGCGTTTGAGACTCGTATCCGTCAGATGCGGCGGCAGCGGCAGCGGCCAGGGCGGCAGCCAACTTCTTCTCCAACTTCCGCACTTTGGCCTCGAGGCCTTCGTTCGTCGCAGCGAGGTCTTCGTTCTCGGCTTCGAGTTCGGTAACCTTGGTTTCCAGAGTGGTACACTTCTGAGCAACAGCCGCCTTTTCCTTGGTGAGCCTTTCATTGTCGTCGGTGAGGACTTCGTTTCGGGCCTCGATTGCCTCGTATCGGCTGCGGAACATCTGGTCTCGCTGCACAAACTCACGTTGCTTCGCGTTTACCTCGGCCTCGGAGGCTTCGAGCTTGCGCTCCAAGTTTCGCGCCCGGATCTTGGCATCTCGAAGGGCTTCGGTCAGCGCCGTTGTAGTCGAGAGTTGTTCATCGCCCGATGCGTGGGCCGAGTCATGCACTGCGTATCCCCAATCAGGACCAGTTGTGTAACTATCTTGGTCGCTGGACGAACCAACTCCAGAGTCGGTGCTCTTGTGAGAATAGTGTTTGTAACCCCTCTCGCGAGGGGTTCTCTCCGGGTTATAAGGGTAGTGTGCCTGGGTTGGCATGGCGGCGGTGGAGCAAGGCACCAGGAAAAAGATGTAAAAAAAAAGATGTAAAGGGTGTTGGTGAGGCTAAGAGGCCAAGCGATCTTGAAGAGGTGAAGAGAGGAGCAAGAAAGAACACAAGAAGCAGGAGAAGATGTCCGGCTGGTTTGCCTAGGATGAGGAGGGCCTGTGTGGGATAGGGATGTGGTCCGGTGTATATATCTTTCCGGCGAAGGTATATGAGGGGCGGTGGTTCACAGCCCGGAGTGGCGATGAGGAAAGAAAGAGAAGGGAGAGTAAGGTCCAGGTCTCCGGCGGAGGCAAAACGGTCCGGCAGAACAATCGAAATTCCCTGGTAATGGCCGTAAAGGCACCTTTTATCCTGGTAGGCAAATGGAATAAAAGAAATCCCGCGATGGTTCGAAATTCCAAAATGTCTCTTGGCCGAGATCAACTTATAAATCCTGATGGACAAAAAAGCGGCCGGACTGCTGCCTTGGAGGTGGTGGTGTGCCCCGTATCATGCAAGTGGAAAAATATGTAGGTCAGAATTTGGAGAGTTACTCAACGCGGTACTCTCCCACTGCCCCTCGCTGGCAAGCGTGTCCGGATGGACAATTCAACCCCGAGACAGTAAGAATAAAATGAATGACAGAGAGGGGTATCGGATCACATGTAGAGGTGGCCGACGTCGAAACAACAAGAACAACGAGAAAGGAGGGTGGGTGGGTTGCCTCTAGGCAGGATTCGCAGCACTGCCATGCAAGGTCGGACAAAGGTGGGTGCTCAAGGCAGCCTATTCTCTGGCTATGCGCCACAGGATGCGTTGACAATCAGTGTGTAGATTCGCAAGTTAAAGAGGTGAAGAGTGACATTCAGTGCGCGCATGTTGTAAAAGGCCTGTGAGTAAGGGTTGCTTCGGCGAGTGCACAAAGGTGAGCGTGCTCAAGTGCGTGTAAGAGCGTGCGCGCGCGAAGGAAGAAAAGTGGCTCCGAGAAGAGGGATGCAAAGTCTGATGCGCACAAAAACGGATTTGGGGAGGGTGGAGGAGGCAGAGATAAAAGGGTATATAGAGACGTAGAAGGACGTCAACCAAAAAGATATCGGAAAGCGGTGGATTTCTGGATCAAGAATATGTGCGCTCCTCAAGAGAGAGAAAAAGAGAGATGGATGGGTTGGTAGAGTGAGAGCTGATCTCAGATACAGCACAATCTTGTATGATTTGGTGGAACTTGGAAAGAATCCTCAAGGGATGGAGGGAAGAAGGAGTGAGGGAAGGCGAGTGGAAGAAAATACCAGGCGGACTAGTAATATAAAGGGAGGGGACCGGACAGAGAGTCAACAAGGGAGGGCGAGCACGCAGGGAAGGGAATGAAAGGCAGCGGACGAGGACCGACAGGTGTGGGCCAGGGTCACGAAAAATTAGGGGGACAACGAGAGGCGCGCAGAAAAGAAAGAAAAGAGAGAAAAAGAAAAAGAAGAGAAAAAGAGGGCAAGAGCAGAGGATCAGAGAAAGGTCAGCCACTCCCAGCTCTTGGTTTCGCAAAAGAAATGGAGCCTGAGGACCGAGACGAGGAGAAGAAAGAAAAAGAAAAAGAAAAAGAAAAGGAAAAGAAAGAGAAAAAGAAAACGAAATAAACAGGGAGGAGCGGAGAGGAAAGCAGCACCCGATGAAAAAAGAGTCGGTGTGAGGGGGATAGATAGGGCTGGGCCACCGGGAAGCGGGAAAGAACACCAGGGGGAGGGGCGTGGAATTCAGCGAGTGGAGGGGCGTCCGCGAGGATTGTGCTCTCCTTTATCCCCTTTTGGAAAGCCTGCCAACTGAGACGCCGAGGAGGAATGATTTGGAAACAATGCGTCTCCATCCAGAACACACACACACACACACACACTCACACCACACACCACACACCACAGACACACGCACTCTCGCAGTTACACACGCCCCTCGTCAGCCCGTTAATACGTGTCCCTGGTCTTCATAATAATAGCCACAGCTCAGAAATCACAGCTTGTGCGCACAACCGGAACCAAGGGAACCTACTATTATTGCTCTTGAGTAAACGAGATGAGAGAGGCCTCGGCCAATTTCCTCTCACTCCACGACCGCTGGATCGTTGTCCGTCCCGTCGAACGAAAGAGCATGTGCTACCTTGTAATTTGAACGTGCACACACATAATAGTCATTATCACCATCTAGGCAAGGAAGTGGACTGTATCCGAGGGTTGCACCTTGTTCAGCGACGACTTCTGAGTCCGGCTCAGAGGACGGTGCTCCGGTGTGCACCACACACTCGGAACGACGTCAAAATCTTCTTTCTTGCACTCCACAGGCCAGCCCGTGTCCGCGGGCTTTTGTTAGCTACCAGCATGCCTGGTCCGCCCCCTCCCCCACCCGTTTTTTTTTCTTATTTTTAACAGGGAATCGTGAATATTACTGCAAATACCCCCTTCTTGTTCAGCCTTCCAAACACCAGAATGCTGCGGTGACCTGACTGCCTCGGCCACGCTCTCGTCAACCATGCCGGGTCCTCAACGTGTCTCGTGCTTCGCGCCGCCAACATCCCTTTCTCCTCCTCGTTGCTGAGCGGGTCAACCCTCCAGCCAATGCTTGTTGGAAACCCACTACACCATAGCCATCCTTCAAACACCGCCTCAGTAGCTGTTGCGTTTTGCTTGGCGCGTATTCGTTCCCTGTAGTAAATGGTCCGTCGGAAGCCCCGTAGTCGGGCCACGACATCAAAATTTGTAACCACTCACGCCTTGCATGCCGCAATCCCAGCCTCGCAAAAACTTATCAGCTGTATTATTCGAATTTCCTATTGAGAAGACTATCATAGAGAAGTTGTGCTCATCTAAGAAGCCTTTCCAGAGAGTAGAACCCAAACAACGCCAGAGCCAGACCAGGGCAATGTTGCCACAGAAATAACCCGAACAAAAGTCTATAGTGGCTGATGGACAATAAACCAGATAGCGAATAGGATTAACGGGAGGCGGGAGAAGACAAAGAAAACGAAGAGACCAAAAAGGGAAAAGAAAAAAATATGACTGAACTTCTCGCCCGTCACTTGGCGGTCTCCACCACACCCTGGCTTTGCTCACCACATGTGCCGCAGTGCTGTGCAGACTTCCATCACCTCTTCTTTCGATTTCCTACAGCCCGGTTCCAAAACAAGACAGATGCGGAGGCAAAGTCTACCTAAATCATCACAAAACACATCACAATACTGCTCCAAGCACTAATTAGTCTGTCATCGGCTGGGAGTTAATGAGAAGGATAGCACTGCCGAGCTTCTCGTACTCCGCCTTCTCCTCTTCCTTCTCTTCGTCGCATCGTACGTGTAACTCTGCCACCTGCATCGAGGCACTTTCCAGCTCTTTTGGAATGTCAAGGCCTGGATGGCAACATTCAAGAGAGGTTCTGTGTGCTCAGCTGTCGATCTTTGGTTTGCCTCCTCTGGGGAGATGTGATTGTAAGTATGCTTCGGGAGAACCGGCAGCTTAGGCGTTGTGACGGATGACTGCCTCTTGTCCATCTTGCCCACAGCCCCAAACGGGTTCGTACTGTGCCTCGGCTGCCTCTGCAGCTCCAGTTTTGTATCTTGAAATTGATCAAAGGTCATACCGAGTCTCGCAGTCCCGCTATAGAATGACTTGTCAACTCCCTTCTGACGCTCGACAAGTTGTTCGTCAGTCATCCTGATGGCACCATGCGGGTATTCCGTCAGCCTTCGCGCCGCAGCATTCCAGCCTTGGGATCCGAGATTCTGAGCCTTGCCACCCCAGATCCGCCTTTGTCCGGTGTCCCCCTCTAGGCTCTTAAACTCTGACAGTCGGGTAGTGACATCGACAGTAGTTGGTGCCCGTGATGCCAAAGTGTGTTTTTGATGACTGACACCAACCAAGGAGACTGGGGCACCTTCAATAGAGGGGGCCATCCCTGTGAGAAAGTTAAATTGCATACCAGTGTCAAGTTTCGGGGCAATGAGGTTGCTCGTATGGGGGTTTGATGCACCCATCTCCTGTCGAGGGTCCTCGCTTCCGCTGCCAGAGGCGTGCTGAAAATCGGTGCCTTGAATGTTATACGTTTCAAGCTGGGGGCGCAACTGCTGAAAGGGAGCTTGCTGGCCAACCTTTCCAGGGGTATCGCCAAAGTTGTAGTCTTTTGGACGGCCAACAAAGTCAAAAGTAAAGTCTTCTTTCTTTCTGCCTTTGCCTTGCTCGGTAATTGGTGATGAGCTCTGGTTGGCGGTAGAGTGTCGGTGCGCCACTATTTGATGTGGAGATAGGAGCCGATGAGATTTGTTGTTGCTACTGGGGCAACTCCAAACTCCAAATGGCTCGCTGGTCCACCGCGTCCCCTCAGTCCTATTCTCGAGTCGGTGTTGACTATTATTTAGATAGCTATAGGGGCAAAGTTACGAGAGGTGTGGCGAAGCCCATAGCTGTTGAAGCAAGGCGTCTGGTACTCGCCTTTCGATGACTGGATTCCAACAGCCTGGCCATTCTGATATCGAAAGTCTGTAGCCATATGGGCCGCTGCTGACGGGGTATGGAAGCCGCGGCGTTGGCGAGGTGGCCCTGCCGTCAGGGGCTCCGGGACCCCGGGCGTTATCGGTTGTCGTCCACCAGAGTAGCCTCCATATTGGGATGTGCCGTGATGCTTCATAATCGACGCATCAACAGCAACTCCCGACGCATAGTGCGCGAGGGCTTGGACATTAGCTTTATTGTGTAACGAAGTTCCTGTTTCCTGGGGCTGGTTGGGGAAGAGAATGGGTCCGTTGCCGTCCGATACGTCGCCGTGAGTATTCGGCCATGGCTGGTGGCTCGCTTCTACCTCCCAAGCAATGAAGGTTAGTCAATCAAGAAGTCTATACAGAAGTCTACCCCTTCCGTAACCATCACGTCGGATCATTATGCTCTTACCCATCGCAAAAGACGACTTCTCTAGGGCATTCCGCGCCAATTCCTGATGCGGGTTTGGGTACGATGCTAGGTTAGCTAAGGACTTGACTGGCAGTCCTCGGATGCTCTCATCACCATAATCGATGGATGTGGCGCTGTCGCCCTCGCCGAATTCCCCGGCATGAATTTGGTTCACTGCATGGGACACGGCGGATGGCGACATGGTAAGGCCAGCAAGTTCAGCAGTGCTGCGCATGGCACTCAATGTGAAACCTCTAGACACTCTCCCGACTGGAAGAGTACTTTCCTGGAGATAGCCTTTCTCGAATGGCACCCTGGCGCGCTCATTGTTTTGCTGCAGTGGTGAGTAGGTGGGTGTCTGGACTTGGTCGATTGAGTAGTGGCAACTCGGGTGGATGATACGGTCGACGCCCACTACATTAACTTGTCGGGTAAGAAAAGACGCGTAGTTTCCGCCCTCTACGGGGAATATCTATTGGCCCTTCCTCGACGAAGCGGAGCCTTCAGGGGCCTTTCGGACTCGGGCCTCCAGACCGTTCCAGCCGTTGTATAAAGAGTCTGCTCACTCGGCATCTCCTCGAAGCCTAAAGGGGCCGGAGGCGGTGGCAGTCGCGGTTTATCGCCTTCCAAGTCGGATAGAGTGTTCTTCGCTGCGGACACTGCAGATGGGGGATGGCCGAAGGGAGTAGCCATTCTCCTTTATTGTCGCTGATGGGACTTCCCGAACGGGATGTTGCAATGCGGCGTCCTTTCCTTGAGGGTCGAACGTATGGAGTCCGGATGTCAGCAGTATCGTAGGAGTTTCAGAAGGAGTGTTGCTGTTTTCTGATGAACCCAACCGTGCACCTGTTTATCAAGTGGATAAGAGCGCAAGCGAGCGGCAGGGTAAGTAGTGGAACGTGCAAACCCATCCACACAATCCTCAATCCTAGGTCTGAAGCTGACGGGCCCTGACGCTTTATTGAGCTTAAGTCACCAACAGAAAATAAGAGAATAGAGAAGGCACTTGGCCTTCCTGGCGCCTTCCCAAGTCGCAGTCGTTCAGGATGCTGTGGAGCAGAGACCAGTGGAAGGCACGTTCCTGGCATGCCTTCTGAAAAATACATTGTTTTGGCGGCAGGAGCAATGGATGGTAGGTGGATTCTCTTGATAGCCTCCACGGCAAGGTGCGCTTGCGTTCTACTGGAGCAATGCTACTGGTGATGGCTTGAGTTAGCGGATGAGTGGGCGAGTTTGAAGAAATTTGCGTGGCGGTAGAAGCACATATCCGTCTAATAACTCAATCATACTTGACCCAAAATCTTTAAACACTACCATCTCATTCCTTGGGTGTTGTGTCGTCAAGCCATCGGTCTAAGCATGCCAAGTACATACTTCTCGAGAATCGTGAGAATACCACGTTCGTTCCGAGGGCGCACTCCTGGATTCAGCGCGTTACGCGCTTCCCAAGCTAAAGCTACGCCTCATGGTTCGAGTAGAAAGGGAATAACGATATACGAAGTACAAGCGCGATGTGGGTAACACCTTCCTAACAAGCGGCGCGTTGTATGGCGGGGTAGGTAGGTGGCCCTCGTAGGCAAGAAGGGATGAGAACGGGTTAAGCTAGACAAATTGGTGTATTCAATGAAATGCGTCTAGGTGAAAGGACCTTACAAGTCAGGTAGGGGAACAGCAATGAACCGCCCAACGCCAGACGCCCATAAAACAGCCACGCCTGCCAGCATGGCACACAAAGCTACTCGTAATACATCATCTCAATATCCATGGCCTCCATGCTTTGACACTTGACAAAAGTAGACCTGACAACGCGCACTCATGCGCTAGCATTCGAACATTGATGAAGTGATCCGGCCGCTGGGAAATGGCAAGGGAAGACGATGGGTTTTGGTGAACGGCGACTCCTTGAAAACAAGTACAGTTGGCAGTGGTCAGGATCACTAGCCGCGGTGAGTAGGCCGTGCCTCTTGGCAATTTGGCAGCAAATGCTATCCTTCCAGTCAAAAGGGGTGAGGTGGTATCTAGAACCCAAAAAGGGAGGGGTGGAAAAAGAAAAACTAAAAAGAAAAGAATTCCAACTATTTACACAAAAAAGGGGTATATGAGACAAAGTGATGGGAGGACGAGGCTATTAGCACTCCGGCCTTCATTCCTTCGATGTTAAAAGGCAGGATAGGATCTCATCGGAGCAGGGCCGCCAGGTCCCGGCGGTGGACTCCGCCCAGGACCGGCGCCTCTATTCTGGAAGCTGGGGTTACTGTTCTGAGGGTTTAGCTGCCCGTAGCCCATAGGCGCGCCTTGGTACGGCCCAGGCTGGCCGGCCTGTGGAACTGATCTTGCGCCGGAGTCGGCCGCATACCGGGGATCAACATCCTCATAGTAGGAAACTCCATTTTCGGGGGCGTTCCGGTCCTGTGGCTCCGCTCGACGGACGCCGAGGGGCGATGGGACACTGGGCGAATGGCGGCCACCGCCTTGGTTCCATCCTGCACGTGGTGGCACATATTGTCCTTGGGCACTGCAGAATCGTTAGCAACAGTAGGGAAGAGGGACGAATGTATGATGACATACTCTTCAGTGCTATACTTGCTACCCTCGCTCATGTATGAGTCGGTTGGTCGTGCACTGCCCGACCTCGCTTGCTGCAGGCCAATCATGCCTGCGACATCTGTATCGCTATCCCTGATGGCGCCGCCGTAGGCACCACCTCCACTTGGGGGTTGGCATCCATTTCGACCACTGGCGCGCCCATGCCCTCGGGAAGAGGCGGAGGTGACTCGGCTCGGGGAAGGGTATCGCGGTTCGAGTTATAGACGTCGTAAGTAGTCGCTGAAGAAACCGACGCGTTTGAGCTGTACTGATCGGCTGGTCCTCGAGCGTACCCACCATAGCCGTCGGCTGGGGAGCCACGTCGATCGTAGGGCCCGCCAGGTGGGCTCATATTCGGATTCTGATAGGGTGGACGGCCACCTCCGCGCATCATAGGCCCGCCCCGTGGAGGAGGCCCGTAACCGCCCCGCGGTGGTCCATAACCACCCCTTCCTGGAGGCCCATAACCACCCCGGGGAGGAGGTCCATAGCCCCCTTCCATATCCCCCACCACGGCCGCGATAGCCCTGAGGAGGCATGCCTCCCCGACCCCTGCTGTTTAATTGGTCGGTCGAAGGGCCTCGCCGCAGGGCCATGTAATCGTCGGGAGAAGGTCCCATGGGGTTTCCATACTGATCCTGCTGCATTGGCGGAACCGAATTAGACCGCATGGGCTCTCCCAGAGGAGGACTTGTCGACCCTGAACCCATGAGATTGGGTGACATCTGGGTGGGGCTACGTTGAGTGAGTGGAATTCGCGAGTCATCGCTGGCTTTGTCGTCCTTTTGTTGGTTCTCGAAGGACGCGAAGGCGGGGAGGGCATCACCGCCACCGTTAGCGCCGCTGAGTAGAGGCATCGCGGGCTGGCGTGCAACGGTAACGGCTTGCTTCTGTGCCTCGCGGTTATAGTAGTTCTCGCCGCTCATTTCGGCGTTCTGCGCAATCCTATTCTGTCTCGCCTTCCGACTGATAAGAGTTCGGCGCATCGCGCAGGCGAATACTCCGGCGAGAGCGACCATGATTGTTGAAGTGAGGACGATGTAAGAACCCCAGGCGAGGTGGGGAATGAAAAGTAGGGCATCGACGACGAACGCGAGCAAGCATACGAGGAAGTTAAGGAAAAGGATGATGAAAAGAGCTAGTAGATAGCGAGTGGAGTGGGCTGCTGAATGAAGGTGAGCGGCAGCGGCGAGGATGAACGATGCAAGGGTCAGGAAGCCAGCAACGGGGTGGACAATCAGGATAGTAGTCAAAGAATTGCGAAGCGACTGGGGCATGTCAAACTTTGATTTATCGGAATCTAGGGCGGCATCTAGAGGTGTTCAAATTAGCTTCTGGATACCGCATGCAGGGCCTGAGACATAGTTGAGAGCTTCCTGCCCCCCTTTCCCAATTGCATTCTTTGAGTGTCGGCATGTGCCGGCGAAAGGTGGCAGCGACGTACCTGGATCATATCCGATTTCGAAGCCAGTGCAGCCATCGGGGCCGCAGAAGCCAAATACACCAAACTTGACGCCATCGACGCTGCCAAGTGGAATTGAGCTAATAATTGGCGCAGACAAGACCGCGAGAAGCATGAGGGCGAAGGCTCCGAAGAGCAGGATCGCGAGCGGGGTGGCCGGTCTTAACATAATTTTGGAAATCCAATGGCAAAAACAGGCGGGGCGCGGCGAAAGCAGCCAGCGTCATCAAGACGCGGCAGAGGTGGAGGTTGGGTCGTCGAGCAGTGTTACGCCGGACGCTCAGTTTCCAGTGCTCATAGTTTCTGATGGCGTGATAATACTACGAGAAAAAGAAGGTCGAGGAGGCGCTCAAGATGAGATTGTACGCAATAGCACACGCGGCTCGAGGACAACGGTGACGCTCGTGGGTCGATTTATGAGGCTTCGGGCCAGTCGAGAACCAGAGAGCAATCGAGGCCCTTCACAATTATGCAGAATCAATCTGGCTCCAGCTGCCAGAAAGATCGTTAGGGGCGGGGTGATTCGGGGGACGGACGAGGCCTTCAGGGCTCTAATACTCGGTGCGCAAGTCGATTCCCTCGCGGAAGAGGAGAAAGCAAAGGAGAGTGAAAGGAAAGAATGAAAATAAAATGAGACCAGCTAAGGCGGAGGTGAAGGAGAGTGTGTGAAGCGTCGAGCACGGCTCCCACATCAGAGGATGGGAGGTGTGTTGGGGGATAATGAAAGGGGACACGGAAGAGAAGAGGAGCGACGAACCCAGAGCCAAGGCAATCTGGGGCGGGATGGCTTGCGGTTTGGAAGGGGGGACAAGGTACCGAGTACATTGGTCTCACAAGTGGAGGCTTGGACAGACAAGGTTATCGCTTCTGTGGGTGGTCCTTGCGAGGATCCATGAAATCCCATCCCTCAATCCTCCCATTCTCGAGTCATTAGCTCCGATTGACCAGTGCTTGCTCTCGGCCTGGTGGGGAAAGCTAATATTAATGAGGGAACGGATATGGTTGTTGCACGCATCGCAAGCGCATCACCCAGACTCGCTCCTTCAGGCCCCCTTCTTCGAAATCCTCCTGCGCACGTCTAATGATCTTCAATCAATGCCCCATCGTCATTCTCTTCTTTCTCTTATCTGCAGCTACTTCGTCCAGGTTAGGGGATCGAGCGACAAGACAGCTAATTCCTTGCCATTGCTCCAGGTCAAGCACCATAGCTGGGGCTAGAAAAACGTGCAAAAGTATTCGGAACCTTGAAATAGTGGTGTGGAAAGGGGAGCTGTGAGGCGGCGAATGAACTGATATCCATTGATGGATCCATTCAATGCCACCGACCGAACCCAGAGTTGAGGTCCCGCGGGAAAGGGTGTGCGCACGATTTAGCGATCCGAACTCTGCCTTTAGGGCCGAACATGGCGGTGCGAGAGATGTAGGCTAAACAAGGGCCGTTGATGGCAATATGGTGCCTCTACACTGATTTATTCCGACAGCAAGTCAAGATGCCGCGTCGGTCGCCCATTGGGTGAACGGTAAATTCGACATTCCATCAATTGATTCGTTGAGCATCAGGAGCTGGGGCCTGTCGCCGACTGATTGATTCGCCCTGGGCAACAGTCGCATGAACTTCGCGTGACCAAGTTCCGAGGCCTCTCACTTGAAGCCGCTCTCATTTTCGCTGGAGCGACACCAACCGGGCTCATGCTCGCCCTTGGCCGCGGCAGACCGCTTGGAGACGTCGGTTCGCATCAGTCCGAGGTGATGCGTAACGACCCCCACAGCGGCGTTCACTCCTTTCTCCTTCCTTGAGTACTTTGAGGAACAATTGGGTCCGGAACCACGAGGTGGGCGGGGTGGGAGAAGCTGTAACTATTGACCAAGCTCCGAGTACACGTAGGAATATTACTGTGAGCACGCAACCACAGCGCCATACAGCCAGAGCACCTCCAGAAATGGACAAGTCTCCCGCGCGCGACCGATCTGTCAATGGTTCCAATACTCTCCAGGAACTCGTACTAGTACTGTGTACTTGTACATTCAACCAGCATGGCCTACAAGTTGGGGGAGAGCTGCTTGATCACACCGAAGGGCCGTTGATCTTAGCGTGCATGCCCCCTCCAGTGTCCCCAGTGGCGCACCACTAATGTAGGTGGGAGGTGCTGCATGTGGTAAATGTCAGGGTCCCTGGTAGTGGGGCGAGAGGGTCTCGTCGGGCCGTCAATTCCTCAAATAGCCATCCAGCAATATTATCTCACTTTCCTGATGTAGCATTGGTCTTGTTGGAGTTGGAGGGGCGATGCTCCGCCCAACATTGACGACGACACGCTTGTTCGATTGATTCCATGTCCCGATGGTCGCTTCTGGGTAAATGAACCCGCACATGCATTAGCTCGGAAATTACCTCTTTCGTCGAACGAGGTCCTTTTTCGAGGATTTCGGGACGGAACAACCAAACGCGACCGCGAAAAGAAATGAGACCGGGCCTCGCTCTGTTTTTCGATCGGTTGGCGACAGTTGGGGCACGCTGCAATTCCAAGCCCGTCTGAACAGCAGGCAGTGACAGTGATCAATTGATGGTGGAGAGACAAGACGAGGTGGTTTGGGCCAAGGCTCCGGGCGTTTGGGACCGCCCCTCCCAGTCGTCCAATTCATGCTTTCGATCTTTGGGCTTGACACAGCCGTAGGGGTGACGGCTCCGCTCCTGGCTGGCCCTGGGTGAGACTGTCCAAAGGATTTAATGATTGGAATAGTCCACCTCCAAGACTGTCCATCTTCAGAGGTCCTGTCAACACTGTCTAGCGATGCGACAGCGGATGTGTATGAAGTATCAGCGCCATGCTTCATATGCAACAATTCGACTCAATCTGGTGCTGTAACGTTTGGCTCCGCCTCTTGCAAGTGGAGAACTGTGAAGTGAGGCATGCGTCAACGCCCAGTCATCAATCTCTCACTCGTCCTTTCCCCAAATAGATCAATTCTCAGATCGATCGAGGGACCATGCTTGCCCCTCAAGATAAGGAGGAACAAGGGCAAAGAGCTGGTCGGCATGTTTCAGATTCCCTCCTTCATATCCGTAGTATACGCCAGCATTGCATGACTTATCCCCGCCGTACACGACGCCTCCGCGAAAGAGGCGCTTTTTCGAGGCCAAATTTTAGGCTTGTGGGGTCTTCAAGCCCCCTCCACTCCCTTTAGCGCCTGCGAGTGCCCGATGAGCTTCGATGCCCTGATTTTGACGCGGGAGTTGCCCGTTCTCGATGGCATGGAGGGGTTTACTTGTGGCAAAGGCAGCTTCCAGAGGTCCATGCCATTCTTCTATCCAGAATCTACGGGCGCCTGCCTGCGAGCCCTGAGACCATCAAATGGTCGAATTGACCCTTGTTGGCTTATCGCACAATCCATCAATCCATCCAATACTTTCTTCCATGACATGGACCGAGAATTGTTCGAAAAAGATTCGCTTGACATTTCGCTTCGACTGGCAATCATAAAGCTTGAAGAAATGGAGAGAAAGCAAAACCCCTTTGTTCAATTCTTCTCTTTTGTCTCCAGATGATTTGAGCGTCATTGGAGAGGAACAATCACAATCACGACCTCGACATAGCAAATTTCTAGGAAGACATGCACGGGTAACCATACTTGACCAACTTGATAGGCCTGCCGCTGGCCCAAGAGATTGAGTCGTCGTCTCTAGTGTATTGCAGTTTGATTTTGGCAGAAGATTTCCCTTTCTTGGTCGATTGGCTCATCTGCAATGTCGAACTTCCTGCGCTCAAGCGGCTCGTCAAGTTGGCGGGAGCCCGTGTGTTGCATGAATACATGTATGCCGCCGAGACGTCTCAAAGCCGGCATGGCCTTACCTCCTTTCCCGACATGGGGCTGCGACGTGAATAGACCTTTTCGACAGACGGGCTGGTTAAGGGTTACATGCTCACAAAATGACAGAGCTTAGCCTCTTGCTCAATCAACTGATCCATGATGGCTTTCATTGCCCAGAACGCTCATAACAGCGCCGACCCATTCCATCAGAATTCTGGCATTGGCAGTGTCAAGCTTGATTTCTCTTGGTCTCTCGGTTTACACGCCCTAGGGCAGTCGCTAGCACTCGGCACTCATCGAGAATACAAAATTACAGATAGGCCTCGTTTAGACAGTCTCAGATTTGACATCACCCAAACCTAGACCTCCAGAAAGTGGTCGCAGCTGCTGTGACGCAGAAGAAACACTCAGGTGCAAGGATTGGCGTGGTCGCGGGTTGGTTGAGCAATTGTTTTTCTCTTTTCTCTCTGCCAATATTCTCAACAACAGGGAAAAGAACATGTGTCGTCGTAATATCTTGGTTCTCTGGTGAGGATCAGGCGTTCAGCTAGGAGGGCCAACCAGGTTGGCGCCAGGCATTCCTGGAGCAGATCCAGGATGCAGGGGAAGGGTCAGAGGACCGAAAAGCTTAATTGACAGATGTCAATTCGTTGATCAAGCTCGGTGTATGTGTAAAGTATTTCATGTTATATGTTGGGCTTCTTAAGAAGCTCCCGCAAACCATGACGCTTCGAGGTATAGAGGTCCACCTTAGAAGCTCACACACATGCTATCCCCTTAGATTGAAAAGTATTGGGGCGAATCAGTTTGAGGGACATGGAGGGCGTCACGAGGCGGTGTCAAGGCGGTGTCAAGTCGGACTGAATGACTGAACTCATTGGCATGCTTAGAGAGAAACCGCCCCCGTATGCCTTGTTGCTCTTGTAGAAAATTCGGTCTACTAATCCAATACTCTTATCTCGATGTAGCGGTCTGGTGCCTCTTCGCTCCGATATTTGTCGGGGTTTGTGAGCCTTTGTCTCCAGAGCGGGGAATTATTTCCGCCGTCCCTGTCTTATCTCCGGCATCGCGCAGCGGCGGCGTCGGCATTTTCCGATCGCATGATATCACCAACGTACCTTACCCCAATATTTTTCTCCCAGAACCCCAACCCGACTTCAGCAAATCGCATATTGACCGAGCGTACAGACCAGCCACTATCCTATACATGGCACCAACACGATAACTCCTCGTTTGACTGAAAAGAAAAAGGAAGCAAAAGGCCCATGCTTCGGCCGACCATAGGCAGAGGCGCCTTGCGGCCACTGCGCATCCGCCCTCATCGACTTGTCGGTCAGGCTCGTCTTCCCTGCCGAAATCTCCAACGCGCGAACCCGCTCTTTCCCACGACAGCCCCCGGGCTTCCTCCTATAGCACCTCATCATTCGAGCCTCTCCGACCGCCATCGCCAGAGTCCCTCGGCAAGCCAACCGGGCCCAAAACCTATACCCGAAGCCGAAAATGGCTCCGTCGTCTCGTACTCCTCTCCGTGGTCTGCGGCACCATTTACGCCGTGGACAGCCGCTTCTACGCCTCTAGCCTAACGCGCACCTTTCGGACCTTTGGAACGGGTGCCCTCGTCGCCGTCGACTATAAGCTCAACTTCCGCCCGCAGCCCGTCACCGGCGGCACGATCCAGGATGTACACCGCCGCAGCGCCGAGCGTCTGTTCGAGCTGCTGCGCACCAACGGCGGGCTGTACCTCAAGATGGGTCAAGCTATCGCGATGCAGAGTGCCGTGCTTCCGCCCGAATTCCAGCGCATGTTTTCGCGCATGTTTGACGACGCTCCACAGGACGAGTGGAGCGATGTCGAGGCGGTAATCCGGGAAGATTTCGGGAAAGGAGCGGAAGAGGTGTTTGGTGTCAGCTTCACCGGAGAAGAAGGGAAGGGTCTCATGGAGAGGAGAGCTAGGGCGAGTGCTAGTGTGGCGCAGGTCCACTGGGCAAGGCTAGCAGATGGCAGAGAGGTCGCGATCAAGGTGCAGAAGCGCGAGATTTCCAAGCAAATATCGTGGGATCTTTGGGCGTTCAAGTGAGTAAACCTACAGCCTTCACCCTCTACCCTGTAACATGGGAGGGAAACCACCGTGAGATCCAAGTGTACTAACAGGCGCTATTTGTGCATCACAGAGCCGTCACACGAATCTTTAGCTACTGGTTCGATTTGCCCTTTTACACCATGATACCCTTCATCACAGAGCGCTTAGAATTGGAAACCGACTTTGTGAACGAAGCGAAGAATTCGGAGACCATGAAGAAGCTTGTCGCTGGGGAACCCGCGTTGCGAGAGCGTGTCTACGTACCCATCGTCTACCCAGAATTCACGACGCGGAGAGTGCTCGTCACTGAGTGGATCGAAGGTGTCCGGCTGTGGGACAAGCAAGGCCTCACGTCCGTATGGTTAGGGGACATGGAAAGGGGTCCCCCGGTCTAGGCAGCACGCTTCAAGCCCCTGACGTGGACAGGGCACGGCGCGAACTCCGTCAGAGGCCTCTGTACGAACAGCTCAAGCCGGAGAGACTAGAGTGGAAGGGTAAAAGGGGCAAGGGTGGGCTTGGGGTGAGCTCGAAAGAAGTAATGAGGACCATGGTGGATTTATTCTCGGCACAGATATTCAAGTGGGGTGTGGTGCACTGCGACCCTCATCCGGGCAACATTTTCATCCGGCGGAAGCCCAATGGCAAGGCGCAGCTCGTGCTCATCGACCACGGTCTCTACGTTTACATGAACCCCGGCTTCCGGCAACAGTATAGTCTATTTTGGAAGTCACTCATGACCTTTGACCAGAAGACGATTGTCGACATCACCGAACAGTGGGGCATCAGAGCATCGGAGGTGTTTGCGAGCGCCACACTGATGCGGCCGTACGAGGGCGAGGAGACCAAGAAATTCATCAAGCAGCTCGAGGGCAAGTCGGCCTCGGAGAAGCAATTCTTGGTGCACCAGAAAATGAAGGCGAGTCTCAAAGACTTCCTCACGGACGAGGACAAGTGGCCCAAGGAACTCATCTTCATCGGCCGCAACATGCGCATCGTGCAGGGGAACAACCAGTACCTCGGCTCCCCCGTGAACCGCATCAAGCTGATGGGCGAGTGGGCGAGCAGCAGCCTCTACACAGATCCCGACCTTCCGCTGCGGCGGAGGTTGGTTAACGCGTGGAAGCACCTGCTCTTCAAGACGGTCCTCGCCGCCACCGACGTTGCCTTTTATTTCTTCAGGCTCCGGCAGCTGCTGGGCTGGGGAGGGGGCATGGAGGATGAAGTTGATCGGCACATGAGGGACATGGCTCACGGGTTTGGCGTGGAGATTCAAGAGGATGTTTTTGCTGGGTAAAACACGCTGACAAGCCCTTTTAATGGCCTCGAGAAGAGAGTGGGGATAAGTGCGCGCAAGAGTTGGAGAGGGATACATAACTATCGCGTATTGAACCCACGGCACGTGTATGATAGGATATCCATAGATTTGAGTCATCTAGGGTCTCGGAATCGCGCATAGAGCGCATTCTTAACGGGTAATCACACTACTTTTCAAAGTCTCCGAACCCTCCCGGACAACACATCTTCAAGTTTGAATGTGGCGTTTCATGATGAACTTGATTCAGCAAAAGATTCTTAGCCTAACGTACAGCTTTTGCGAGGAGCTGAACATCCGAGTTGAGAGGGCAGGTATGGAAGAGAGATGGGGACTAGGCTTCATGCTGATCTCGTCCATTCCTTAGACAAGAAGCCATGATCTTGAGTGAGGCGTTCGCGCCCTTCCCGCTAAACACTGTAGCATAGAGGCATGCGGGCTCTCTAGCCTACCATCAACGATCTAGGGTTGCCAGCAGAGGCCGGAATAGGGAAACGAGCAGGTAGGTAAGAAGGTGTTTATGAGATCTCCCCTCAAACAGGATCGACTTGTTGATAAACATCCACGATGAATATAGCAATCGCAATCGAGGACTGCGCGCCCGTAAGAGACGATTGTCCAGGGAACATGTTTCTCGTTGTCAAAAGCGAATGGAACCTGGAGGCGAAGGGAATGCCATGAGAGCATGATATACCTCGATAGGAAGACTGCCCAAGGGCTCAGGTGCCCTACCATCCCGAGAGCTGGGAACTATGACCGCCAGATTCTCCTATTCTCGGCCATACACGCACACCCACCCTTGGACCTCGCACGCACCCACGTATTATTCGTAAGATTATTCTTGATTTCCTTGCGACAAGTACCAGTATTATTACTGGATTACTGTAGTGTATTACCGCATGGGCTTCCCCCAGACCCTCCCTCCCTCTCAAGATTTATTATTAGCGTGGAAGGGACAAGGAAAGGCCGTCTCGTGGCTGTGGCCCTTTTGACGTAAATTGGTGGGGCCCTCTAGTCTAAGTTGAGGTGAAGATGGGGAGTGATTCTTTCTGTCGCCCCGCGGACGCATGCAGGTACACCCAAGGGCCACGAGTTTTGATTAGTTCATTGGAATTAAAGACGGCCATCTAATACTTCGTACAAGTATTCGACCTTTTTCTCCCGTCAATTCGAGAGGGCCCCTTTGTCTTTTCGTCGCTTGTGAACTTTTGGGTTTGCGACGGGCGGGTGCGCACACTACACGGGCGTGGGTGGCCATGGAGCATCATTTCCCCTCCTCGAGAAACAGCCAGGTCGCCGTTAGTCAGATCGAGCTTGCTTCCTGAAGGAGCCCGCTGCGTCGATTGTCCTGTCCGAGGTTGGGCTGACACTGTGGGAGAGCAGGAAATGAGCCTTTTCCTATCACAAGTATTATTGCTCCATATCGTTGTTCTGTGGCTGCTCTTCCAGTTGCGAATTTGATCTACACTTCCTTCTATTCTTGATCCATCGAGGGCTCTGGAAGCGGAGCCAGCCACCGAGGTTTTAGCGTGTGGGTCGCTCGCCAGAGAGAGCAGCCAGCTTGCCAGGAACTCCAGCACTTTAAAATGCCCGACCCGGAACGATCAGAAGTAGTCAGGGGTAAGACCATCAAGTCGCGCAATCCTAATACGGCAATGTTGGCGCACGCTGGCCATGGCCATGGGCCCATCTGGTTCAGGGAGGAGGGCATTTGATTGGATGGTTTCATCATGAAGCTAAAAGGGACAGTCCACTTTATTAGTCTCCTTTCATCATTTCCCTGGGGAGACGGCGTATGATTGGATTAAAGGGGTAGCAAGGGGTGACTTGTAATTTTAGGGGGATGGGGCTGTTGGACGGGGAAAAAGAGTGGCATCTTTGTGCTCGAATGTGTGCGAATGTGTGGTGTGAATGTGCGTGCGACCTTGGCTTGGGCTGGGCAGGAGCTGGATAGACAATCTCCCGGCTTCTTGCCCTTTCTCACCGTTGCGGGTGCTCTGATGAGCTGACGTTTCCTCGGCGGAGAAATACAGAGTATTGCTTGGACAAGTAATAGGGGATGCGGAGGGAGGCTGGAGAGTGCTCCATGCCTGTCTATCTGACGTGGGCATTGGAGGGTATTATCAGTATTATCACACTAGGTTGGATCAATTGATGAAAGGGGTGGATGATGGAGCCGGCGAGCAACCCTGATTCCGCGCTCGCTGCATCGAATCCTCAGTGGCCAATTTGACAAAGTGGACTGCTCCTTTGTACGAAGTAAGAGCAGGAACTTGAAAGCAACACTACTTCTCGAAGCAAGTGTAATTTCGGCGTCGCAAGCAGTCCTGGCCTGCTCGCCGTTGCCCGACTTTTGTCCTCCAGCCACAGAGCGAAACGAGCACAGGCCAAGAGTGTGAGTGAGAGTATGAAGGGGCGAGGTGGCAATTCGGAATCAAGGCACCTCTCCCGCCAATCCACCCCGTCGTATCCCCCGTTGTGCAGCGTACGGATGGGACCAGCGGGGGACTGCCACCAGATCGCTACACACTGCGCTAGATTCTACTCGTTTTAGTACTTGTATGCACAGACAACCACATAGCGCCTTGGGGTTCGGGGGTTGAGGCCTTCTTCCTATTCCTGCGCTCCTCAGAGCATCCGCGCACCATGTTCTGCGAGAATGGGTTCGTGAAGGGTGAGCGAGCGAGCTGGAAGTCAGGTCCGGCATGTAATAATAATGCAGGCTGCATCAATCTACCAAAGTCCACGGGAGGTCAGCGAATATGCTCCGCCGTCTTCTCACTCCCGTCCATGCATCCTGCAGACTCGCGCATCATTTGATCCACTCTTAGGGGAACCTAGAGTACGCTCTGAAGTGAAGTGGCCTCCTATCACTCACCAAAGAGTCGCCCAAATCCCCGAGGACCCTGGGTACCTCGAAGATCATGGTACCTGCAATAATACTGGTCCTCCTTCGTTTCATTTCACGAGAGCGATTCATGGAGACAAGATTCAAGGGGATGGCAGGCCGGAACAGCCATTGATCGATGCTTCGTTCGAACCCGGCACGGTACTCTCGAAGCCCCCTCGCCAGCCTGGCTTGTACCCGGAGCTTGGTTTCCAGCGCCAAGTGGGAATCAGTGCTCGTGGGCAGCTTAATTGAGTTGAGAAATCCACCACACACCCCCTCCCCTGCTGCCTCCCAATGGATCTGAGGGAAGGGTGTGGTGTGGCGTGTGCAAGCCGGCGCTGTGTCGGCAGCTACTTCGTACATACACTACCAAGCTACAAACCACGTCCTTTGCTCCTGCCCGCCCCAGTCCTCACTTCCTGCAAGGATCCCACGACGCGTTTTGGGGAACTCTTTCCTTCTTCGTCTCTCCTTTTTCCTCGCTCGCCCTTTTTCTTTGCCCATTTTTTTCTTTCTAATTGCTCCAGCCGTCATCAGTCAATGGCAATGCCCTGCATGCGACCGTTGTGAGAAGAAAGGCAAAGCAGCTATCCGAACCCGCGCCTCTCATTATTACTTTTCTTTTTCTTTTTCTTTTCTTTTCCTTTTCTTTTCTTCATGGTATTCTGAACCATTGTTCCCTCTACCCCGGTTTTGATCCGCTCTACCTAGGTCCGGGTTGTTTCTGCACCAGCGTCGCCGGCTAGTCTCAGTCCTTTGATCGAACCTCGTTTCACCTGTAAACCAGGCTCGTCTATCAGCCACGAGTACTGAGGAAGAGGACGTTACTCGTGCCGACCGTCTCTCGCGACCCTTTCTTTCGCTCGTCAGCCCTCTGCCCTTCCCGCTTCCTTGGACCAATCGACGCAATCGACGCGGGAGAGTGGTACAAGCAGATGAAATCAAGCTTGCGCCGAGCCATTTCAAGTCCCACTTCAACCCCTATTCCGGAACTGCCATCGCCCTACCGTTGATATCGCCAACTTTCCCTTCTTCATCTTCTTTCTCACTCGAAAACCCCAATTTCTCTACGGACTGGACAGGTTTAAGCCAGGTATGTTGCTATTTCGTGTGTTGTTTGATTTCAGTGCTAGACCGTTGCCTGCCTCGATTTCTTTCTGGCCCCTTTCTTTTTCTTGCCCCTTTCTCTTTGCGCCCTCCAAGCTAGTCTTGCCGCCGACGCCTCCATCCGAAAACATGCTTTTCCTGAGGGGACCCTCTCGTCCTCGTTTGCAAGCTGGCACCTCCCAGTGACGTCGGGTCTCTCTGCGCGCCCGACAACGTTGGAATGCGGCAGCCGCCCCAGACGATGTGATGAGGATGAGGGGAGAAGCCAGGAAAGGATTGTGCTTGCTCGGCAAAACCCCTTCGTTGAAGTTCTATACCCCAACGAGGTCGTACAGCTCCTATTCCTGGCGCAGTGACCTGGCGACCAATCTTCTCATGCACATCTGATTGGAGCCGCCGGGCGGGTGGAGGCCAAGCAACAAACGAATTAATTTGGACATTGCATTTCCTTCGGCCAAGATCTGATGAACATCCTCGCCTCCTGATACATTGCTGGCACAATTCTATTCTGGGTTGCTAACCATTTTGTCTTTTCCCACACTCAGGTTATCATTCCTTGATACCCCAATCTTCTTTACGAGCCCTGGCTGTGCCATCTATCTCCACGATTCACAAACATTCTCGAACGCGGATTTTATCCACAACCACCGAGCTTACCTGCTGGACTTGACGGACCTTTTTTACTACTTCTTTTTCCCCCTCTCGAGCATTGCGGTCTCTCGATACCTGCTCTCAGCGATCCGTGCGAGCCGACCCCGTTTCTCCCCGCCCCGCCACTGTCTCCAAGCGTGAACGACGTCGAACGCAACGATCTTGTCCCACCTAGTAGAGGCGCCCGTGTCGAAGATTATTTCTCGCTAGAATTATTAGGCATATTGCCCTCGTGGTTACTCTTCCGCAAGGTATACGAATTCGCAGCCAAGCGGAAGATAGTTTCCCTGTTGATGCCTTTCGCTGACAACAATGACGCCACCTCGCCGTTCTAGTCTCGGTATGTTGCTCCGTCGAAGCAAGTCGGGCGACCTCAAGTCCCGCAAAGCCAAAGAGGCTGAGCGTAAGCCTTCGGTTTCCAAGGTCCCCCAAAGCTCCCAGATGTCTATAGAGGCCACGAGCAGCTATCCAACAGCTTCGGGACGGACTTGCGCCCCGATTCTGTTTCCATCATTTCTGGCAAAACCGATGCCTACTCCGGCCGCCCCTCCATGGACCCAGGGCGCGCCCCGCTCTCCGCCTACCCAGCTCCTCCTCCCGTGCCCACCAGCCCATGGGATCCCTATGCCCGCACCGAGAGCATGACCCACAGAGGCCGATATAGCTATGCTAGCAGCGCCATTAGCACAATCAATAGCCCTAGGAGGGTTAGAAGGCGGAAGGACCCCACTCCGTTCAAGTAAGTGACGCCGGGCACCTTTCCCCCGCTCAACGCCATTGTTGTAATAATCCGCGCGCTGACCCCTTGGCTCGCCTTCTGTTTCTAGCATTTTGATCATTGGCACCCGAGGCTCTGGTAAAACTTCGTTCCTCGAGTTCCTCAAGACTGCCCTTGCACTGCCGCCAAAGAAGCGCGCTAAAAGGAACGACGAGGACGAATACACTCCCCGGCCCCCGCTTCGGGTAACTTTGTCCCTCACTACCTCGAGACTGAGATTGATAGTGAGAGGGTAGGCCTTACGCTCTGGGACTCGGAAGGCCTTGAGAAGAATGTTGTTGATTTGCAATTGCGAGAGATGTCGGCCTTTTTGGAGAGCAAGTTTGAAGAGACTTTTGCCGAAGAGATGAAGGTGGTCAGATCTCCTGGTGTCCAGGACACACATATTCACGCCGTCTTCCTAGTCCTTGACCCTAGTCGACTGGACCGCAACCTGAGCACGGCGAAATCAATCTATGCCAACGGCCACAACGGCATTGCCGACCTGCGCGCTCTTGGCGCCCTCGACGATGATCTCGATTTGCAAGTCATGAGGACTTTACAGGGCAAGACCACCGTCATCCCAGTCATCGCTAAAGCCGACACCATCACAACGAAACACATGGCCGCCTTGAAACGCAGTGTGTGGAGTAGCATCAAGAAGGCCAACCTTGATCCCTTGGAGTCTCTTGCCCTTGAGGATGACGATGCCGCTTCATCGAGCTCTAGCAGAATTGACGAGGGCGATGAAGATGCCGCGCAGGCCGATGCTAGGTCCGACGTGATCCGGGGTGACAGCGATCTTCCCATCCAGGGACAGGAGGATCTGGATGCAGGTGCCGAATCGAATCCCTCGGCCCTTCGCCAGAGGTCAGAGAAGGGACCCGCCGAGGAAGAAGAGTCGTCCTTTTTGCCACTCTCCATCATCAGCCCCGACTTGTATGAACCCGGTGTGATCGGTCGTCAATTCCCTTGGGGTTTCGCCGACCCCTACAATGAGGAGCATTGTGACTTTACACGTCTTAAAGATACCGTCTTTAGCGAGTGGCGCGCTGAGCTTCGCGAGGCTAGCCGGGAGCAATGGTATGAGGGGTGGAGGACGAGCCGGCTCAAGGTCCGAGATGGACCAACTCGCCGTCGGATATGAGCGGCGCGCTATTCCCTCGACTACATAATGCCCAAAGCACGCTTAGTCGCGTCTTGCACGATGCCGTTGCGGATCCTCGGTTCCTTCAGCGCCCCGACCTGCCGTCTGTCCCTCACCATCCTCTGTTTTATTGTCCCTCTTGTTGTCGAGGTTGAATACTGCAGCATACCCCTTTGCCGTTTTTGCCTTTTTTTTTTTTTTTTTTCCTTCAACTTATGCCATGTTATTTTCTTCTTCTCGAGACTTCGTCGACACGGGGTAGCGGGTTTGGCGCCTGCTCATTATTAAATCCTTCCCATTTGTACTCTCCAACCTCGCCCACTCAGTTTACAGGTCTGTGTCCCTTGTGCCCCAGACGCTCTTATGAGTCGCACGACCAACATACCTTCTTTTCTTTCCTTTCTCCTTTCTCTTCATTCCCCTTGATTGATGCTGCTGATGGAATACATAAAAGTGCACAGAAGCTGGCGGGCAACGCGCCTCGCAGAGTAGAGTGCCACAACCCATCCACTTGTTTAGTCTTCTCTTCTTTCTGCACACGTATCACGGTGGCATTCTCTGTCAGGCGGGGCAGGGCTGGTTGAAATGTTGTGGCGATGGAAAATACCCTCCACGCTCCCCGCGTGGATCCACGCCTTGGAACTCATCGGCCTGTCCCGCGGATCTGGTGCTAATTTTCTTGGCCAAATACAAAACAAGCTCGTCTCCTATGTATCTTAGTATTTTAGTTTCTTCTTGTCAGTCCTTCTCTCTTGGGCCGCTAGGGCCTGTTGGCCTAGGCCTTCTTTTTATCCTCTGAGCTGAGGTGCAACCCTTGTTTTTCAATGTCACGGATTATAAGTCCTTTAGGCCTTTGTTTCAAAATGTGATCAATTCTTGACTCCCGTGGACTTGCGATTCCGTTCTTTCCCTAGCCGACCTTAATCACCAGCTTCCACACATGCTCAACAGATTAGCATCATTAAGAGTAGGCAGTATCTCGCCACTACAACCATGTTCAGTAGCAGCTGGCGCAGACCAGAAGCTCCTGGCGAGCCGGGATACTGCATGGATTGTAAGATCAATGTTGCGTGTATAGCCATGGAAGTACGAATTGATAGGAATACGGTTGGAATAAGGGTATCATAATAATAATTTACACAACCACGTGCCTTGACTAGGCACTGGTGGAGATGTGCAAGAAACAGTGGCCAAGCCAACGCCGCCCCCAACCAAGCCCGATTGCTAGAACCACCAACCATTTACCATTGCTAGAAAGGATATGGAGTTTCTTCCCATAGCCGCTAGCCGTCAAAAAGATGACGTTCAGATGGAAGAAAGCCAGATTGAGGTTAAAAAGAAAAGAGGCCCAAAGAAAGATATAAGAGAAGGGGAGAAAAGGAAAAGGGACGAAGAAATCGGCAGATATAGCGGCTCAAGGTTATTGAGTTATTAGGTAGGTGAAGCGGCAATACCTAATCAATCATATGTATATCCAGATCCGTGTTGATCGGTTCGTTATCGGCGTCTACATCCGCCTCGGTGCGGTCTGGGTTTTGCCGGCTTTGCGGAGCGCCAGACGATCCTTTGCGCCAAGCAGCACGTTGTCAAATCTAGCAGGGAGCACGTTGTCATGCCTGTTCAGAAAGGGGGGTCATGTTAGTTGCATCCAGAAGTTGGTATTTTAGAAGGGACCGTACCTGAGAAGGTCGACCTTGATATTCCTCGCCTTGTCTCGAATCTGCTGCTGAGTGCGCGGGGTGGAGAACAACTTGTTCGATACGCTCTTCTGCTCCATCTTCGCCCAGAAACTGCCATGCTGCGCGATAAGCTCAATCACCGCTCGCGTGTCCTGGGAGTCCAGAAGTGGCGGCGTTTCGGTTTCTTGGTTGTCCGTTCTTCGGCATCCCCTGCGTCTGTTGGTGACGCGCTTGGATGAGTGGATGGCAGTGCAGTGATGGCAGTTACTGAGCGGCTGCGATCGGGAAGAAGCTCCGATATGGACGTTGGCGGATTCTGAGACGGCGCATTGAACGCGTCGACAGGGCCAGCATGTGCGCCCGAGCTTTGAGGTGGGACCGCACGAGGCTTGCGCCGTTTGGGCGACTTGAAGGTTCTCTCCTCGGGCTCCGTCGCGTCGTCTTCACCTAGCACCTGGTTGGAAGGGGCGTCGCCTGTGGCGTAAGCTTGCTCTTCTTCGATTTCAGGTTCAGGCCGCGTTCGTGGACGTTTACGGCTGTGTCGGGCCGTGTCCGGTTCCGCAACTACCGTACCGCGCGCACGAGCAGGCCCGGCCTGGCCCCTACTAGCACGAGCCCCTTGAAAGCAGTGGAAAGCGCAAGTAGCGAGGCCTTGCCAGTATGAAGAGTGCTGATTACGCGGTTAGCGGGCTGGGACGGGATGCCTGGAGTTGGAGAAACCGGCACATACCCGTGGCCGGACCCGGGTGGTCTTCTGTCTCGCGCTGAAGCTGTTGTTCTATAGCAGAAGTGATGACATCTTCCACCGGAGCTGCACGAGCAGGAATCTTCTCGATCGTCTCCATAACAGATATATAGAGATTGTCTGACCATTCAGACAGACGGTCAAAGAAGGGTTCGATGGGAAACTTGGCTTGGATAGCATCGATATCCACTTCGCCATCTTCAATGTGAGCCCCAATAGCCTCAAGGCGCTCAACGATACTTCGCCTTGCGGATCTCTGATCCTCCTCGGTGTCCATTGTCGGATCCGCGGCCAGCTGGATGTCATATATAGGCTGAAATTCCACCCCTGGTAGTGCGGACATGTCGAGCTGTCGCGCTGTCCCATCTTCTGAGCCGAGGAACACTTTCCCCCAATGGACAGGGCGGTAGACTCGTCTAGGGATTGGTTCTGTAGGATCTCATATATCCAGTGTTGGGTACGTATATCCAAAGCTCGATCAAACGTTCCGTATGCCTGGTAAGACTCCATATGGGCGCTATCTGGCGACATCACGCACCAGGGGAAATCATGGTCTAGGGCTCGGAGCAGTCCCAGGATTTCGGTTGGGTCCTTTTCCTCCCCTACCATCAGTAGGGAGTCCATAAGAAGGACGAGATTCGCTGCTGACACAACGTTTAGCAAATCGCCGTGATAGCCACTAGCAGTCAGAGATTGTGATATTGCTGTTTTGTCCAAGAAGACAGAGTCGCCGGGAGTGTAATGCGGCTTCCAATGCGCTAGCGCCAGACGATACGAATCAAGTACAATCTGCCATGTTGCATCATGGGGCTCTTCTGCCCTTAGGTGATCGCGAAGCATCTTTACGGAGGTCAAAAGGCTTTGCTGGAGGGCTAACATGACGTTCACATTAAGAGCGGTAGTCAAGCCTTGAGCAACATCTGGAGTAACACCTAGATAGATCTGGTTAGCCTCGGGCGATATTTGCTGCATGAAGCGAAAACCACGAAAAGAAAAGGATCTTACGCGTTATGACTCCTTCACCTTCGTCATCTGACTCTTCAGCGTCCTCGGAATCATTCTCAGGATCCGAGGGAACGCTTGCAATGCTTCTTTGCTCGGAGGGTGCCTTCGCCCCGCGCCTTGCCGCACGCAATGATGGGCCTGCTGGGATCCGCGGCTCTATAGACTCGACAGCTTCAATAGACTCCCTGACCTTGGGGCTTGCTGGTTGCTTCCCACGTCTCCGTCTTGCTGCGGGCGGCGGCACTTGGCTTGGAGCGGGAGCTTGTACTTTCTTACGTTGACTTCGTCGCTGGACAGCACGCGCATCGCTCCTAGAGGGATTTTCGCCTGAGTCCACATTGGGGGCATCATCTATTGTAGAGACTGTGTTCTTCGTAGAAGCTGCACCTCGCCTGGAGATTCTTGTGGTGGCTGGCATAGTCTGCTCCCTTCTCGCTGATGCCAGAAGAGTAGGACGACTAGTGAGTGAGGGGACAAATCTTCAATCTGAGGACAAAGCAAACATATAGGCGCTTGGGTAGATCCTTTCAGCGACCGAGCCTGAAAATGGATGCTATATGAATTAGGTTGTGAGGGGATAAAGAAAAGATCCAACTTGAAAGTTCATCGACCCTTAGGTGGTAGTTCATTTGTTTACCTGAACCCTAAGGAAGGTGCGATGATTGTTTACCTGTTCGGGTTCAGGTTATCAGATCACGTGATATATATTCGCCCGCTACTGGTGCATGGCCAGTAATTCTACCTGATACATCAACTGATCCTTGTCAAAATGTCCGGAGAGAACCAATGAGAGGGGCAAACCACATTCCACAGCTGTACCATTCTGGCTCATGCACCAAGGTGGGGCCGAAGCCACCTGCGAGACAAGCTTCACATTTGAGACCCAAAGTGACACTTGGTTAAATGTATTAGTGGATGGTAAGACTGGAGTCGGGTGCCTTCTAGTTTATTTATTAGACCCAGGTTCTGTTGCCGCCGATACCTCGCGGCAATTGCTCGGCGTGGAGAAAAGGTGCAGGATGGACCTAGGTGGCGAGGACCCTACACACTTCTTTCAACGAGGCCATTCCAGGGCTGCTTGGATCAAATTGATATTCAAAAACCAATGGCCTTCATACCACTGCTTGTAACTCCAGTGGATTCCCAAAGCGGCAGGTTTAGGGTTGTCACTAACACATCTAGTCGAGGTGGCGGCGTACACCCTCTAGGTCTATAGTGGATCAACTGAGCTTTTGGCTCGATGGGAGGCTTCTTGGGTTGGGCCAAAGAAGCCGAGAAAGTACGCAGTTCTAGTAAGAAATAAAAACGCCTAATGAACAAAGGGAGGGTCCTGATTAGCAGTTTAACTAAAACGCATAACGAGAATCGAAAAGGGACCGCGATGGGCAAGAAGCTTACCGTTGCCCCGACATTTCCCCAAGTCATCGCATTCCATTGCGATACGTCAAAAAGATAGTGATTACCCAACGCATACCAAGTGAGGACAATATGGCCAATATCCGCGACCCAGAGTGCAATGAGGTAGTTTCGGATGACCTTTGGTTCTGTAGTAGACGAAAAGATGGCAAGACCGATCATGCATAAGAGGAGATAGAGGTTTCCTAGTTGGAGGGCCACTAAGCGGCTGTTATCTGAGGTTGCGAGAGGAACTGAACTTGGAATCTGCTCTGCGATAAACCAATCGGGCGAGGATATAGCACCGATAAACCCCCAACTCTAATAGAAAGGGTTTCAAATATTAGACCTGATGCCAGCGGTTGTGGGTTTGAAGTTGTTGAAGCCTTACAAGGAGATGGGCTCAAGAACTGTGAATACGATTCTTGGAAAGCGCGGAAGAGTTGATGCCATCTTGACAAACTACGAGTATGGAGTATGGTACGGGAAGGGGTGGTGGTGGTGGGGGGGGGGGTTGGAGGGCTACCGAACTCGGATAATTTTCAAACAAGCCTCTCCGGGGTTAGGTCGTCTGGTGCTTCTCTCGTCCGGTCGCGCCTATTACCATCTGCTCTGACTTGCAAAGGTCAACTTCAGGAGGTGGAGCTCCAACATCCGGGATCCCCGTGCAGTTTCCAAGAGGCGTTGATGAAGACCGTGGTGGGTCCTCGGCACTGAAGGTCACGTGAGCCCGAACCTGGAGCCAGCTCGCTGGAGAGGGACCGTGGCTGGAACGTGTGGGCCATGATGGTCCAGACTCCATCAGACTGAGGGGCGGGCCCAGCTGCGCTTCTTGGCGGGGCTGGAATAATCAGTCAACGCCTCTGATGTTCTTGAGTCACTTCTCTCCGTTCTCTTCATTGTGAGCCCGTGCTGGAGTCCTGATCACGCCTAGATGGTGTTTTCCCACTCCGCAATATCATGCGAAGCCTTCGCATAAGTGCATGGTGCTTTCAGGGCCCAAGCCTTACCTCTTAGTCGTCCATTTCCCTCGAACCTCCGAATCGAATGCCAGGCCACCGAAGAACCCGCACCTACAAACTAAACTCTTTGACTGCTATCAGCTCCATACTATGGGCCTTTTCTCTATTCTGCCGAAGTTGATCGTTGCATCAATGCCGGGATAGAGCGATGGCGACGATAGAACCGCGCTTAATTCACCTTCTCAACGACGCGACAACGCCGAACCTTCCTTCCACCGATCTTCCACCTCTTCAACCGCCCAGTCATGCCAAACACGTCGAGAGATTGCCACCCCTTGAACCGGACGCGGGAAACCAAGGGGACAAGACTTCAGCAAACCTGATCATTCCACCCTATCTCCTCGATGATGGCATGACCGGACGCAATGGGAGGGGGATCCGAGGTACTCCATGCTTGATCGAGGAATTGGGGTTGGTGCGGCCTCGCATTCCCTACGACTGCTCCTTGGCGAGACAGTAGTAGATTCATCGAACCACCTCAGTCGTATACTTGGAGAGGCGGTTGATACCTCGGATGACTCGGCAACGAAAAGAGGCATCGAGCTCTGGTGGTCAAGGACGATTTTGTCCAGCTTCCGCAGCCCATGAAGAAGCAGAAAGCCAACCAGCAGCAGGTCATGCCGCCCATCATCAATGGCCTGCTCGAGCCCCCTCCAGATGCTGCACTCTTTCCTCCTATTGCGTCAAGCTCCTTTAAGGACAACGATATGCACCAACTTAATCTCCTGCGAGAGTTCACGAATGTGACCGAGGACCGCCATCCGAACGGATCGCTTCGCGACTCAACAAAGTCGACAGGAGCGAAGACCAGAAGGAAGTCAACAAAACCTCGTCGAAAATGGACTGAAGTTGAGACCAAGGACCTGCTGCTCGGGGTCAATCGTCACGGTGTCGGAAAGTGGACGACAATTCTAGAGGATCCTGACTTTGGCTTCAATGACCGGACTGCTGGTGATCTTAAAGATCGATTCCGGACGTGCTGCCCCGAGGAACTTCGCACGAACCTACCATCTCGACCAAAATCTAGCGCGGCTGGTAAGGCCTCCTCACCCATGCCTCGCAAATCTGGGGCTGCTAGCTCGTCAAAGCCCAAGGCTAAATCGGGTCTTCTCTCTGAAAATATCCTCATCCATTCTGAGGATGATTCAGAATCTCAGCCGACAGCAGCAGAAAAGGTACCCACCAAAGCTCCCTCAAAAGCCAAGAAAGGTCGCGCTCATCGGAAGAATCTCGAGGATCTCGTCGAGCTTGGTATCCACGGGCCTTTCAAGCGCTCCCGACGTAGGGAACGCCGGCCTTTTACGGAAAAGGACGACAAGGAGATACTTGAAGGACTTGATCTCTATGGCCCTGCATGGACAAAGATACAACGCCACGCTCAATTTGACTTGTCTAGTCGCCAGCCAACGGATCTGCGAGATAGAGTTCGTAATAAGTATCCGAGTGTGTACCAACGAATTGAAAAGGGCCTTTTCCTCATCAAAGATTCAAATCCAGGCAGCGAGCTTCTTGAGCCTTCAGTAAATATGACAATCGAAAACTCCCTAACAAAAGCTACTTCTGGGGCCATGGACACACAACTCAATCGACCTAGCTCTCGTGAGGAGATGCTGAAGTGGGCAGGTCCAGTCCAACAAACCGGCGAGCTGCCTGAGTTGGGCCCCATTGCTCCATCTATCGCCAACACAGGGGAGATGGATATCTCAAGATTCCTAGTTGACAATCCCTCGGAGATGAGGTCTAATGGCAAGCAAGTGCATCCTTTGTCACCATCACGCTCCTCCTCTCCTGTGCCAGGTGGCCTTGGCTATGAGTGAGGATGCAACCATCTACGAGTAGCAACTGTTTGGGCTCCTGGCCCTCTCTCTATATTCTCGTGCTGTACAAGTCCAAACTAGATAAAAATAAAATCATTTGTTGCAAGCAGTTTTTGGCCATATTATTTTTCTTTTATCAAAAAAAAAAAAAAAAAGGCACCCGCCGCGCAGATTTCCCAAGCACAACTGCTCCAGAGTCGTGTTGCATATCGGTCACACTGTGAATTGAAGAGGCACGGGGAGCCAAGAGCCCGCTTCAAAACGAGACCCACATTTCGAAATGTGATTTTCAGCAGCAAACGAGGTGGCCAGGGCACTGCTCCCCGCTTGCGGCCAACCAGTGCTATGTTCGGTGGTTAGTAATACAAACACGTGACTACAATTCTGGAGGAAACCCCACCAGCGAAAATATACCACACAAAAATAACTTCGGGATCCCAATCCATCCACGAAATTTCAGCTCTACTAACCCCATCACCAACACCCAACAGTCAAAATGGCCCGCGGAATGTAAGTTAACATCGCTTCAGCGACCCCTCGACGCTCGATGGCCCGTTGTATACTCTTCCCAAGAGTTGGCCTTGGATTGTTGTGCCGTTCATATTGAGTGGGCGTCTCAGCGAGAACGAGAAAATGCTGACAACCACCGCAGCAAGAAGCACCAGAAGAGGCTCAGCGCTCCCAGCGCTTGGATGCTTGACAAGCTCGGCGGAACTTACGCTCCCAAGGCCAGCGCCGGTCCTCACAAGGCCCGCGAGTGCCTCCCTCTTATCGTCTTCATCCGAAACCGATTGCGATATGCCCTTAACTAGTGGGTGCCTCCTCTCAAGCTCTCAAGACTCTTCGCCGGGAGCACAGCTAACATGCCCATTCCAGCCGCGAGACCAAGGCCATCATGATGCAGCGCCTCATCAAGGTCGACAACAAGGTCCGAACCGACATCACCTTCCCCGCCGGCTTCATGGACGTCATCTCCATCGAGAAGACTGGCGAGAACTTCCGCCTGATCTACGATACCAAGGGCCGCTTCGCTGTCCACCGCATCCAGGCCGAGGAGGCTGAGTACAAGCTCGCCAAGGTCAAGCGAGTTCAGCTCGGTCGTGGTGGAATCCCATTCTTGGTCACGCACGATGCTAGGACGTGAGTTCTGTCAGACATCATTCAGCCGTTGGATCAAGCTTTGGTCGATTCAAGTCACCCGACGAAAATTGCAGATTGGAGCTTATTTGACGGCTGTATGTATCTCCCCTTCGACCCCAGAGACTAACCGTGTGATTTGCCCGCAGTATCCGCTTCCCCGACCCCTCCATCAAGGTCAACGACACCGTCAAGGTCGACCTTGCCACTGGCAAGATCCAGGACTACGTCCGCTTCGACACTGGTGCCATCGCCATGATCACCGGAGGTCGTAACATGGGTCGTGTTGGTGTCATCACCCACCGTGAGCGTCACGATGGAGGCTTCAACATTGTCCACCTTAAGGATGCCATTGACAACTCGTTCGCTACCCGTGAGAGCAACGTTTTCGTCATCGGCACTGAGAAGCCCTGGATCTCCCTCCCCAAGGGCAAGGGTGTCAAGCTCACTATCGCTGAGGAGCGTGATCGCCGCCGAGCCCACGCTCACTAAGCAGAGAAAAAGTTCTTGTAGGTAATGGGGTATTAGTCTCTTTTACAACGGGCCATGGAATTGAATGAGCATAAAAAAATGGCGTTTCTGGTTGCCTGTTTGATTTCGCTCGAGTCAGAAACCGCGTTTTGTGCCAAATATAGAGATGCCCACACAGGGCAATAGTCTCTGCGCAAAGAGGCGCAATTGACTCTTCGAAAGATTAAGTGACTGAGCCTCTACTCTCCTCGTGTGCCTTGTGTGCCAGTGTAATGTGATCTTGCCATCGTGGAGACGAAACCACCCACCCGCCTCTGTTTCTGTTCAGACTCGTAATATCCAAGCCTACCTACCCAAGCCTTGTTGGTCGATGGTGACCTCCCCGAACGGGGGCCTCGTGTTGACAAAATCCTGATGGCGGCGTTCAGGCCACAACTCATCCTGCATGGGTGTGCGTCTGTACCCCTTGTGCGTCTGTACCCCATGGACTAACATATCGGAGGTGCAACGGCATCGGCGTGAAGCTGCTGTAAACATGACCTGATGGTGTGGGTGTCCGCTTGGAAGAAGCCATTGAGAAGAGGCAGCATGTCTCTCCGAGAAGCAAGCGTGGGGGAGGGGTGACATCGAAGGTAAGCCGGACAGGGTTCAAGAGCTATTATCACCAATGTTCCCATTTGATTATCAATGAATTAAGACTTGGACACAGGCGTAATCGAGTCAAGATACGGCTCGCTAGCTTGTAAAGCTGGCCATATTCCTCTTCCCTTCCTCCTCTGATCATTCTTGTCTCAATCTTCAACCGCACTTCTCCCTTAGCATACCGCACCCGGGGAAACTCGTGGAACGGCGCAGCAGGTGGCAGAGGACTTGTGGATCCCAACGCCCTGGTAAACTCGGACGGCACAGCTCCTTCTAAAGGATGAATGGATGGGTCTGTCTTTCTTGGAAATCTTGAAAACCTCCCTCCTACGAACCCGATAAAAAAATGAAAAAAGACAACCGAAAAGGAACTTGGGAACAGAGACGGGGATCGATCACAAGTCGGAGGCTGTGCCCCACTCCGATTTAGCGGTGACGGTGACAGGCCCTTGAGGGAGGGCTCGGAAACCCTGGTCGTGGAACCAAGCCAAGAAGCTGCAGGACAGCCCTTTGGGATATTCCATTAGTGAGCGTTTTAAAATCCCCGGTCACTGCCCCGGTAATCCCCTCACAGGAAGAGCAGGTCATTGGATATATCAGGCAGGGGAAGATATTAACAGGCGAAGCCCTTCATCCCGTCGCTTTTCACACATGTCAGCCCTTCTCGGGGAGCAACGTCTCGAGTGATATAGTGCAGCCTAACTATTTGGGTCATCGCTTGCTTCGGGAAAGGACCGAGCAGTCTCACCTTTGAGGTCCCCTTGGGACGATCACCCTCTCGATCGGTGATGGGTGAGTGGGGCTTGGTCATGGCTGTGGGGGAGAGGGCATCCCGGTATCCGAGAATTTCAGGTCTTTCATCCAAGTCGGTGGAGGGTATTCCCTTTGATAGAAATAAGCATTTGCGAGACAAGACAAACTTGAAGTGAGTGCAGAAATGGAGTCAAGTGCGCAGGTGCATTTGTCATCCGTCTTAACACCACCTCTTTGACTCGGCCTCGCGAAAGGGCTCCGACGTTTGGCGAACAGATAGGCCATCCCTTGATAGCGAAGGAGTCGGGGGTCCTCGGAGGTCCAGGTACCGCCAGGCTAACTGGGATCACGAGCCTACAAGACGGATGCCCGCAACCCTTGTCGTTGTTTTTTGGCGGGACGGACTGCTCACCGATGCCGGTTTTGAAAAGATGCCCGGAAAGAAGAAGCATCGGTGTGGAACCACGGTCGCGGCTGGGATGTGGAGAGGTGGGGCTCCCCGGATCGGGTTGTGCGCGTTCCTAGTCCAGCGCTATTACGGCCTGCAACGGATCCCTGCCTCGTACGCCACTTGGTTTTGGGGCCAAGAGTCAAGGCCAGCCGGGGATGCGGAGCCGTCACGACATGGGAATGCTTCACTAGTTCACCGATCCCATTTGAAATCCCCGTGTCAATTGATGTAAAATAGTTTCCGAATGCAGGGCACAAGGGGGCGGGTGCAGAAACGATTCAATTAAGCAGAGGCCGCAGCTACCCGACTCCGTTGTGATCTACCTTGTTATAATGGATCCTCCGCTTCCCCTGGAGGCATGTCGTTTGCCGTCTTGCTTTTTTTTCTTTTCAGGTTGGGGTCTTCTCGGCCCCTCTTTGACGAGTGCGCTGTCGTGCAACGGTACAAGCATGTGGTTTACTAAACAGCCCTTCGAGAGTGGCCAGTCCAGCATCAATTGACAGCGCTTGTGACCGCACTTTAGGGGAGAGCGAGGAAGGAAGGACCGTTGAAACTGCAAGGTTTGTTGGTCACATCACCATGCAGGACTATCACCCCGGGGCGACAAAAGAGAAAATAAATTGGAAACAAGAGAGAGAGGGAGAGATCCGGGCCCCCAGCTGCTACTAGTGAAACCGTCATCACGCCGCATTCTTAACGTGATCCATTAGAATCGTTGGGGTTGCTCAACAGCCTGCGCAACAGCTGCAGATGGCACCAAGAAGGTATTGGGAACCGAACCGGGGAAGATGCTTGAGGCGACGAGGGAGAGTGGATGTGAGGCGCAACGCAAGGCATCGAAGCGATGGGTGGCAGCTGGGCAGATCAAGGGACCAGAGCTAGAGCCACGGCCTGTCGTCTCACCTCAGCTGTGGAGTAGGCAATCTAACCCAGCCTATGGGTTCGGCTGGACATGCATGTACAGCGCGGTACGCCTTGCAAGTTGTGGCGAAAAGAAGCGTGCCACGGTACTCGGGCTTGTCGGGGAGAATGTGGATGGACAAAGGTCCGGACAGCCAAACCGGGGAGAATGGTCTCGTGGACTGCTTCCTAGATGGGTATCGTCATCCATGCTACGCGTGTCCGGCTAGATCCCCAAGCTGGAAAGCAAGGGAAATGTGAGTGTTTGCTTAGCTCAGTCACAATTTGAAGACGACTTTCTTTTTTTTTTTTTTTTTTTTTTTTGGTGGTTCTTCAGGTCGGCCACTCGACGAAGAAATTACCATTGATTTTCATAGAAGACGAGACAAAGTGTAACTCTGTCTCCACTCATCAATGGCCCATCAATGCTTGGGTGGTCTGAGGTCGCTCTATTAGGTTATAGGTCTCGTGGGGTCCCTTTCTACATGGCGGGGAAGGCAGAGGCGACTTCACTTGACGGAGACCGGAATTAGAGTTAATGGCTGCAGGGTGCATGGTCATTCTTTGGAGAAACAATTCATAGAGTGTCCCGCAACCTCCAGCATATGAAGAATTGCACATAACTTTCTCCTCCAAGAAACCCGGTCTCTGTTATTCAAGACTGGAAAGAGCCGTAATCCTTACACTGTCGTGGCTCTAGGACTGACTATGTGCTGGTGGGTGGGATATTCTTTGGGAGAGGTATTAGGAGAGTACATGTACGCATTCCGAACCGATGCATGAGAATACGTGATTCTACAGGATGTATTTTATGTTACCTCGTGCCATAAATTCTAGCTGTCGTGGACTTGGGGAGCCGCTCGCTCTAGTGATTCGGGGCCGTCTCCCGGAGATCTGCTCAGGAGGAAACGGCAACCAGCTGCAGTGCAGTTTTGAGCCACAGCTAATGGCTGGCCTTTCGGGACTCATCTGGAGAATAGCTCACAGTGCTGGCTAGCCGATCCATGATATGGAAACGGTTGTAATGGGCGCAAGCGACGATGAGTCGGTAACCAGTCCAGTCTACACGAAAAATTCACCACATGAATGGCCCGTTGATCGACCTATTGATGTGCGACCTTGGGGATTCCAGTGAATGATGGGCCCATGCAGGAATTGGATCAGTGCTGGCTGGACTCATCAACTATTCTGCAACGCCAGGTCCGGGCCCGGACCCGACGACTTGGGGCATTACACGGACGCTGTAGTCAAAGTACAACCTGTGCTACATGTAACCTTGGCTCGGGATGATTATAAAACATCCAGTGAATCGAACAAGGAGACTTCCAAACTGTACCTGTACATACGGCCTAGAAGGGGCGGGCCCGCACTGTACACACGCCATTCTCTACTCTTATATTCAGCTCGGTTCAGAGGATGCCTTGTTGATTGATCCATGGATGTTTGTGTGCGTGGATCTATTAGGGTTCCATGCACATGCGGTGGTTACTCACGGGAATGAGCAGCTGGATTAGGAATATGGGAGGGTGAAGAAAGTCGCCTGCCCGGGAAAACAAACTGAAAAAGGAGAGGAGGAGGGAAAAATCGATTCCCGAAATCGTAGGAGTGACGTGCAGCATGGATGTTTCCATTGATTGACCAGAGCTGCCGAAACTGACGTGTCGCAATAACCAGCACGGTTGACCAGTCTGCTGATGCAGGTCGGAGGGTTTTAGCAGGCGGCAAGGTGCTCAGGCATGGATCCAAAACTGATCAATGATCGAGATCGACTTTGTCAAACTCGAGGTTCCGGGATTGCTCCAATTCAGTCTAATTTAAACGACGTGCTACTACTCGTGGCCAGCAGAATATTAGGCCAGCAGTGGCGTGTGAGGCTCTAAACGGCCAGCCCTTTTAACGGCGGCAGGCACGAGTGAGCCTGGCTCCAGTTGAACTTAACCACATCTAAAAGTTGAGGAGCCCTCGCGCCTGCCGTCATCGATCATTGATGGATACAAAGTTCCTTCCCATTACGACCCATCCATGGATTAGTTGATTCAAGATGGAACGCTCCATGCAAGAGACAAGCCCTGATATAATCCGCATGTGCACGAATGAGACCATGGGGGTTGGACGACCGTCGCCTTGAGGTCAGGTCATCCACGAATGGCCCATGCATCGCAAGCGGATGAGATATATATTTTCCCGCTACATGTGTGGTTCTACATGGTGCGGCAAATTTTGAGATAGGTCAGCTAGGCATTACTTGAGAACCCTGGTGATATCTTGATTGTCG